AGTGACTTAGACCAGTCGGAGGGGATCGTATTTGATTCCCATATACTGGCTAACACTTCCGTTAGCCTGACTAAGAGAACTCTACCACCATTCTTGTATACCTCAGCAGGTAGTCCGTCTGGTCCTGCTGCCCTTCCCCGTTTCAGGCTACCTACCGCTTTCTCAACTTCTTCTAGTGTTGGGGGACCTGTCTCTATGTCCCATTCAGGGTCCGACTGGATAGCGGGCAGCGCAATGGTGGCTGGAGGCCAGTTAAACTGTTCCTCAAAGTGTTCTGCCCATCGTCCCAGTCGCCTTCCCTGCGAGTGAATCGCCGATCCGTCCTTCTCCGCTATAACCTCACTAACTGTTGTTGACCATTTCCCCCCAGTCTCCTTAATAAGTCTAAATAACTGTCTACTGTTACCGATCGCCGCTGCCTTTTCCATCTCTTTAGCCTTTGCTGCCCACCACTGTTCACGATCGTTGCGCAGACTTTTCGTCAGTTTATTTTTAAGTTGCGCTCGCTCTTCATTGTACTCAGAGCCTGCAGGGATGCATTCACGTGCATCCATTAGTTTGGAAGAAGCTGCTGATATCCACTGGCTCTTTTTAGCCATTATCTTGGAGTCGGCTACAGTCTCCAGTGCTGCTTTTACAGTAGACTGAAGATGGCACCAAGCTTCTTCTGGATGAGTGACAGTCTTTTGTTCCGATAACTGCCTAGCCAACTTCTCACTGAACACGGCTTTGGTGTTTTCGTTGTCCAGCAGAACTCGTAGTGGTTTTGTTGCCAAATTTTTTCTACGTCCATTGAGACGCAGGCATATACGTGCTCGGACCAACGCATGATCGCTGTCCAAACACGTACTCCAGAAGGAGCGGCAGTCTTCCACCGATCCTCTCCAGCGATGACTAATAGCAATGTGGTCTATCTGTGTCCATCGCTGAGTCGAGCTCGGTGGACGCCAGGTCAGACAGTGCCAAAATGGGTTAGTGGCTAACGAAATCTCAGCTGAGACTAAAGAGGTGTATTTGGCATTTGTCCACTTGCATCACCACTGGTGTCGATGGGATATTCACTAACACGACAAGAGACGGATTTACTGCGCTGTAATTCACTCCGTCCTATTTATTGTGCGGCTAAAATACATGACCTCTAGAAGCAGAAGATATGAAGAGATTACAGGTTGTTGATTATAAGTATCTTCGTAGCACTGCTCGCCATCACCATGTAAGCGATATCGAGATTAGACAGAGAATACCATGCGTGGAACGAAAGTTAATCTATAAGGTCATGAAAAATCATCGATTTAGGTGACTTGGATATGTGTTGCATATGCCGGCCCACCACCTACCTCGATGTACAATGCTAGAAGTTGGATTAGGTTGGCAGAAGGTTCAAGGTGGCCAGACTAAGACGTATCACCAGTACATGAAGTCTCTGACTGTTGATCTGAGCCATGTAGGGAGGTGCAAAATACCTTGTTGGGGTCCCAGAGGCGACAGAAATCAGTAGTTGGGGAATCTTGGTGACATGTCTGAAATCGGTCACAATGGTGTAAATATATTTACTCTTTTACGTTCCCTAAAGCTTGAATATTTTGACTACACTTTATTATTAAGTTCGTTCTCCTCCCACATACCTTAGTCTGCTTTGATATGTCTTTTTCCGTCTACTTGTTCTTTGTATGGTACTGTGAAGTGCGACAAGTTGAAGTGACGAACTTCTGTACAAGGTTCTACATAAATTTTGTCTCTGTCATACACTTCTGTCTACTTTAACGTCACTCTTTTCTATCTACTCGTTCTTTGCGTGATAATTTGAAGTATAGTAACTTGAAGTGATACACTTTTGTGAGATGTTATAAGATGACTTGTTCTTGTTTGTACTGCTAACTGAGTCATAAGGATTTCATATAGGCAAGGTCTTTCCTTAGAGTGACCAGTATTAAAAGTTACAGTACCCTCCCATTGAAGGAAGTAGAAATGCAAGTCAACCATGGATTCTAAATCAGTGTTACTACGAAGAACGGCTGCTAATGTCATCCTAAAAGCTTTCAAAAGCAAAATATTTTCCACAGAAAGCAAATATCCCATGAGATGTGAAGTGAAAATCAATGCACTTTCTCATCCAAACGACTCGAATAAAGTAAATTCAATGAACACTAAGGTTTTTTATGATTATCACTACTTTTCGTTGTGCAATCTCTTTATTTGGATCTTATTATATCCACTAACATGTCAACGGTATTTCTCATTGAATACTGATCCTAAAGCCCATCCTTGTTTAACAAATTGTAGGTAAACATTAAGAAATACTTTTCCTGGTCTGTACTATGTATGACATGCTGTAGAGGAAGAACATTTATAATTAAAATTAAACCAGGTCTGGTAAACAATAGGTAATTTTTCGACGATATCGTTTTCTAAAGCTGCACAGTCGTGTTTATATGTATCATAAACATGTAACAGTCTATTATAAAACAATAGAGTATAATTACGTCATTAACCTAGTGCTAAAAATACCGGAATCAACAATGCAAAGTAGTTGTATCATAAAATAAAACAGTAGAAATATCGAGAAACGCAAGGAGTTTGAGCAGGTGAAAATTGTTGGTAGATAAGAAACGCAAATATTGACTGTCCACTTGATAGATAGGTGTAAAGAAGGTGAAGAATGAGACAAGGGTCATAATGAAGGTGATAATAATAAACTAATTAATTATGATGAAATGGACCATGGTAAGATGAGAGATTGCATTCTTGATTCCGGTTTTTTAGCAGTAGGTTAATGATGTAATTATACCCTAATGTTTTATAATAGACTGTTATATGTTTATGATATACATAGATGCGATTGTACAGGTTTAGAAAATGATATCGTCGAAAAGGAAAATTTTCTTCTCTGAATTATCTCTTCTCTATAACTCAATGGGCATGTTTCGTAGCTTAATCGGCAATTTTTCAAGCACTTAGAGGAGTTTGTACAGTATGACAGCACCAAATACCCTAAACCTAGACACATAAAAGTTTGGCACTGTAATGGTTTCGTTTTTGGGTAATTAAAAACTCTTAGTGTGATATACCTCCACAACAAAAACCCTGTTAGCTCCCAGAGGGTACTCTATCTCTGTTGCCAGAAAAAGCAAGGAACAAAATAACTGGACCAGTTGCTACATGACTTTTAAGAATCCCAGACTCCTTCCGGTCTTCAAGTCAATAGGTCCGTTGGCGTTAACAGTTCACCTCGATGAGAAGCAGTGGCTGAAGCAGGTATAGAACAGAAAAAGCCTAAGGGTGAAGAAACCAAAGTAGGACACCACAATAATTGGTTTGAGTCGTGAGAGACAGTTAGTTTGTTCAACCTAAAGTCCTAGGAAAATATAAACCACCAGTTAGAAACCATATGCTATATAGCTCAAAAACCCATCACCATAACACAAGTAGACTCACTCTTTACGGCTGCTTAAATCTTGAATACCCACTGTTGTGTAACAGTCTGTTCGTTGTCCTGTAATTCATTCGATTGCGGTACTGAAGTCAATCTTATCTGTGTTGTAGAAAATAACATCAACTTGGGTTGATGCAATGTTTTCCAAAGCCCTGAAATTTTTGTTCCATAAAATCATGCGTCTGATGTTTTCCTTGAAGCTATTTAGGAAAATAATAGAGATGACTACAGTGGGTAGTGAGATGTGGTTTTTGAGACTTAGCATTGTAGACTACATCATACGTAATTCCATTTCATATTTATGCTAGAAGTGTAGCTATTTTCATGTTACACTGTTTAATTCACTTACTCCATATTTTCCGTTTTAGTGTTAATTCACACAGGAAAAATATAGTGATTCAGAAAGAAATTATTTTAAAAGCAAGACTGCGTGTCTCTGAGATAATCAATTCCGTTAAACTGCGGTGTGTTAGCTGTTATTCAGGAGTAATTTAGGTTTGCAAGAATTAAACAAAACACTAAAAGTGTCACACTCAATCTTATGGCAAAGTGGCTTTCAGAGTTAGACTGAAAATATCAAACGAGAAATAATCCCTGAATATATTACTAACCTCCAGTTAATCCACTAAATACTTGAGGTAGATGAAGGCTGGGAAACATCCGACATCCTGGGGCAACGAAATTGTCGCAAGAGTGAAATAATTATAAGTGATGAGTGCTGATGATCATCATCACAAATATCAGCAAAAAATCACGAAACAAATCAATCAACAATTTTCATTAGTGAACCAACTATTAAAGACATGTCGATTAAATTTAGCAGACAATAGAGTTAAGTGACCATGACTACTTTAAGATATTTTTATAATACAGATAGATGAAAAAGTTATTCCAGTCAACGAATTCAACAATTTTTAATCCATTTAAAATAAAATTTCTTTACAAGTTACCATTAACTAAAGTAATTCCCTAATTCTGCAATAGTAGTGCGATTAAAAATCAATCTAATAGGTATTTTAACGTTTTCATGAAATTATAATTATTCGTCAGAATAATAATCTGAAATTTTTGAGAAGTAAAACCTAGAGAAGATGATTATACACCTCTCATAAAAACTATGCTGATATCTTTTTGAAAACTATTATAATATTGAATACAAATGATTCAAAATAATTATTTATTTTCAAATTTACGATAGTTGAAAACTAACGATAGTGTAATCAAGCATAAACCCTTTTTTACTCAATCTAAGAGTAAATCAACGCAACTGGACCCAAAAAGAAAAACTAAACGTTAGCTCAGAAGATTGGAAAAGCATCAGAAGTCTTCAATTAATTTAGTCGCTTCACGGTAACTGAACCTACTGCTGAATGAAAAGAACGAACTAGTTATGGAGAATATTCCGGTATGTTAATTGATCAAACGACGACCGAAGAAGCCTCAACATGTTATCATGCAGTAAATCAGGTCGATATAACAAAGGTGAACTTTGCACAAAAATGTATCGGTTCAATTTACCATACATTGGAACAATATGAAAAAGATTAACTTCAGATACAACGCTTACCAATCTTTGTGAATGTTTCCTGTGTAGAAGCATCATCTAGCCTAGATTTCTCGTTTGAATTAATAACCACAGAATCTCCTCTTGATGAGCCATTGTTATTATGGTTATTCGACTGATTTAGGTCATGATGATTTGGTGAGTCACCATATCTAGGATCATTTTGCTGCACATCATTGGCAGATATTAAACTAGAATACTGATTGTTAGTGAGGCAGTTAGCTGGTAGTGCTATTGGTGAATAAGCAGCAGCGACACTACCACTGAACCAAATGGGATGAGAGCGTTCTGTGAGGATAGAGAAATCCAAACTTGACACAGAAGACAGAGCAGACTGGAAATCAAAAGGAGAGGAAAAATAAATAACCAAGGGTATGACAACATGTTTTTAACAGAAATAACGAAAATAGTAGGGGTAATTCCGGAACGATTAAATATTTTAATAGGTTCATAACATCACTGAAGCAGATCATACAATGAAAACAGCAGCTATATTCGATTTTCTATGCAATTCTCTGATGCATATCGTCGTTTAATAAATACTCTCTGACTGAATCTAATTGAATTGGTTTACCAAGGTCTTATACGTCATATGTTATTTTACAATTCTTACTTCGAGTCATTACTATTCATCTTTCTTTACTTTTAAGATTTTTGTTCACAAAGATTAACGCTGACTATGAATAATTTACAACTGGTTTCGAATCGAAATAGGAATTCACTCAACTACCCAGTGCATATTTGTGCAGTAGACAACGAGCCACACCTATTGAGTGGGGGCTAATGATACTACCTGGCTGCGCAAACCTCGGTAGATACAGCGGGGCTCGAACTCACAACCTATTAGCTGGAAGTTATCCCCCTAAACCAATGAACAATAACTTCTAGTTTGATATGTGTTAAAGTAATTAAATTGAAAGTGATACCCCGCTGTCTACTTTACTGCTCACGAAACGAGTAGCAACTATAACCCAGTATCGACGCATTGAGATGCTTCTTCAACCAAAAAGCCATTCACTTCAAACACGCTGCAACTTACAAAAATACAAACTATATCTAATGACAAGCCAATCTATATTCATAAATTTTTTTTTACATGATCCAAAGTTAAAAGCAGTCCTATATAAACCTTGAGATTTCATATACTCGTTCACGACAAACAGAGTTGTTCTGCAAAATATTTTTTCGATTCTAGTTACGTAATGGTCGTTTATCAAACTGAAATATCGAGACAGATTTCTAATACTCAATATTAATTGATCTCCCCCAAAGGCGCATTGAATACATCATTCAATCCTCTTACTGAACAAATTACCATCCTCCTAACTTTACCACATCAATCAATTCTTTACTCACCCTACTTCTTGCAATAACCTTAGATGAACAAGTATACGAAACCGGTTAGGTCATATGCACTGAAATCCTATGAATTAAGGTGGGTTGAGGAGCATGACCAGATAAACTAACAAAAATATGATACCAGTTGGTTGAAGGCGAGTGGAAATGAGTTTCATGACTGACACTCGCCAGGAAGGCGTATGTATCTTCAGTCTCGATGGAACTGATGTCCCTTGTGAGATTCGAAACTGCCAACATCCAGTGCTGCAAACACAGATACTGCAGCTAAGATATTCCGGGCCGCGAGAAATATGTATGGCAGCATGAAATCTGAAGATAGAACAGCAAAAATGAGATTTTTGGCAGTGAATATTGAGTTAAACAAACTGCAGTAAATCAAGAATTAAAGCGCTTTTCCAAATAGAAGATTCGGAAGGTTCTGTTTCAAAGCTTGTGGAACTAAAAGAAGACTATATATTAACAACTGACTGATCATTAGAAGTTTACACATGTAACAGTACTTTTGAAAACATTTCAATCACAGAAATCATATACGTATATAACAAGATTACAACTCACCCTTTCACTAAGAGGTAGTATAGGTAAAAGACGGTTTAACACCAAAGGAACTGAACGATCAAGAATATCTATACAACACATTTCTCGCAAATCGTTTGACTGTTTTAAAGTTGGATCATAAGTTGCTGAATGGATTAAATTTAATAGAGCTCGGCATTTTCTGAGAATGTAAACAGCTAAACGTCTTGTTATCAAACGACAGCTGCATAGCATGACCAGGGCAAATCCTTCAGCTTCATATAAAGCTGATTTTTCTGCCATATTAGAAGTGACAGCTCCATCCTAAGGAAGAGAAAAACGTTAAATGTAAATATGAAACTTTAATTTTTATTGACGTGAATGCATAAAAAAAACCGCATAATTAGTATGCACCCTTTCACAAACAAATGAATACATTAGGATAACAGATATGAGCTTAAATAGTGGTTCCAAATGAAATGGTGATTAAAAAAAGCGATATGACAAAGATTATAACCTGAGAAGTAGCCAGATAAATGTAAACAAGGAAGATATAGATCATCACGAATACTGATGTTCCGAATAAGGTGCATTTTCACTTGTGTAATTCCAGTGTAGTATATTAGAACAAATAACAAAATAAACAAATATTTTGTGTAAGTTTAGTTTCATCTTACTGCTCATGTTAACAGATATACTGCAATCTAAGTGACATAGTTTCAGAAGATTACGTTCATGTTAAACATTTGTGCATATGCTTTGTGGAGTGTTACTAAAGTAGTAGTTTTTAGTGCCCCGTCAGCATAAATTAACTTTACGTGGTACTGGCAAAACATAAGCGCAATATCAATCACATAAGAAACTGACTGGTATAAACAGAGATAATGTGTGTATTACAAAACCAAGTGAATAAAGTGGAATCTCAGGAAGCAGATAATCACTTGTTTGGGAAGTTTTCAAACAAAGCAACTATCCAGAAAAGCTACTAGAAAGGATAGAAAAAGTTTATCGAAAAAAGACACGGAAAAACCAAGATTGGATAGGTACTGTAGTACTTCCCTACCGAACATTCACATCAGCGGAAATGAGTCATCCTTAATAGTTACAACATCAGGTGGTGAACATATTACACTCACACCTGCGTAAATTAAAAGAACCAACTCCCCATTTGGAACAATAGAACCGTTTAAAAGGTAGACTGTAGTAAATGAGATGCCATATACATTAGAAAGACATAACATCAGGTACCAACACGTCTAACCGAACACGGTCAAAGTTTCAAGAAACTACCAAAACATTCCTATGATCTGGAAAAGCTTGAAAAAGCTCTACCATCGCGCCTCATGCCTTATATTCAGGTAATAAAAATACCACTCGAAAAGGCAAAAGTTTAGCAAGTTTTCTTTCTCATAAAGAGCGGCCCAACTCAGCTTCATTTCACAGCATTCCGCATGACTTATTCCGAATTTATTCATCTTTGAATAGTTTGTGGTGTTATTTCACTAAGTCGTCTTAATCACGTCAAAAAATATCGTTTGTATTTCAAAAACTTACCTGATCCTACCACATAATACTTCATTGATCCGCTGTTTTCATCAATTTTACCCTCCTTTCTGAGATATACATTCTAAGAACCACTCTGCACATTACATAACCCAATTTTTTTACCACTCATACTTCAACCGTTATTAAAAGCACCTTTATCGTTGTCATTGTTACAGTCATTATTACTAATTATTACATATTGTTTGATGTTCCAAAGTAGTAATCTATTCTTTCCCACCCCTGATGACTCACAACTCCACTGTAGTCGAACAAAATTTACCTATTCTGTTTCTGTTCCACCTTACTTGCACAACTGGACCGATATGCTAATTCACTCGCCTACATTATATTGTCCCTTGTTCCTTATCACGATGTAATTTTGATGATCGTAAACGTCACCTATATTAACCTGAAAACTCAATGTCAGATTCGTACTCTTGAAAAGGATCTTCCTAGCGAGATCGAAACATTGAGGAATAATGCAAAATATATGTTTGTTTCGTCGTTTGTCCTAATATACTACGCCGGGACCACACAAATAAAAATACACGGTATATGATGAATTATGCTAACTCGGTGCCCAAGTTTTCCAAACTATCCAATGCATTGTTGGTCAGGAAACGTTCAATACTGATACTGTTGCTTTTATCACTATTTGATGAGGGTTAACAAGAATAAAACTAAAGCTCAATAGTGTTTTATTTAGAAATTTATAGCTGATGAGAATAGGCAAATGAGTCACTGAAAGTCATTTTATGAAATTCTTCCTTGTATATTTAGCAAAATAAAGCAGTCATTCAAAGCATAAATATATATTTGGCAGAATATAAAGTTTTTAAACGGTATACTCCTAACATTTAATGACCCTGTTAAATCCGCTTCTTAATAGAATTGAACAGGTATGTCGGATATAGAAACCAATAAAGAAACCATAGAAAAAAAATAATCAGGCCATGTTCAAGGTCACAACTATATGTTATAGGGCACTTTCCTCAGCCGCTGGGTCAATGTTTCAAAGTTACTTCACTAAAATTTACTCTTAGAAACGTAAGTGTTGTTAGTTCTCGTAGAGTTGAAGTGCCTTAATTAATTAAGCGAAGTTTTAAACGGTCTATCGAATGCATCAAAAATGCACCCTCATATTCCTTCAGTACTTAAACCGTATATACAACAGTTAACAGATTCTTTACAAAAATAGCAGAAAACTGGATGAAAGAGATACTGAATATAGATTGTGGTTGATAACTCTTGAATTCAATATGCACGCACGCAATCTATTAGTGGAAAAGACACTGACAAACTCATCGTATTAACCTTACTCTATTGCATAGTTATAAAGATAATAACAATGCTTGTTAAGCATACGATCAAATTTACCTTTTGCAATGCCAACTTCCAGTTATTCAGTAAATGAAACAAGGTTTTCAAGCAGCTATCTAGTTGGTGAGACGATGTATCAGCAACATTCTTCTGAATGAACTGTATAAAAACTGTAAAACACAAAGTAGTTAAACACAAAATTAGCAGGGTGGATTAATTGATAATGAATGATGAAAAGTAAACCAAAGCTAGTAAGAAAATAAAAACACCAGTTTTGGTAACTATAATCGTGGATATGTATGATCATTTGGGATCGCGAAATTAGGTGGCTGGTGTAATTATAAAATATAACTTTATTTATCCATATTCCATAAAAAATGGAATACAGTTATCATTATGTGTCCTGGCATTTGTAGGCATAAAATAAAAAAAGTATATCGGAGATATGTTGAGTTCATCTAGTTAATCAAGCTGTCTGGAAAAGGAATTCAATGGTAGAATATAAAAAAGTGAACTGAAGTTGAAGCCTTACCTAACAAGTACTTTTACGTCCGAAAATGATACATTTTTGTGCTTGAAGACCTGAGAAAAACAACTTACGCTTTCTTATTAGTGCTATCTCAATAAAATCAACCTAAAATAAAGTTTCAGGAGGAAGTATAGAGTTTCAATAAATCATAACGAGAAGTGGATTCATGAGATCGCTAATTTCCTAAGCGGGAATTTCGAATACACTCCTTTTCTCCAATAGAGATATTTAACAGGTAAGTTAATTCAGATAAGACAATTATCAGAATTCAATTAACATTAAATAATATCGAGTAAGATTTTTTCTCCTCACCTTACATCAGAATGTCAAGACGCAAGGCAACAAAAGGAAGGACGAAAAACAGTGGAAATACAGTCATCAATAGTCATAAAAGTTATGAAACAAAAAGTAGAGGAGTTATAGCGAATAACAAAATGTTTTATTAAAAGACGCACAATATCCGAAAAATGTGATGTATTTGTGATATACATTTAGAACAATCTGATCACACATTTACTAGTTAAAGCATTATATATGGAAATCGGAAGTGAGTACGCAAATACACCACACTTTCAGATAATCTAAGTCTTCTAATTACGTTATCCAAATTTATAAAAGGGACTAATTGTTTCAAATTCTTGAAACGTTCCATTATAATAAAAGTGAAAATAAAGAATATTTACACCTCCATCGTTGAGATTCATTTTGAGCCATATACCAAGTCAATCATCGTTTATTTAGCGTGTTTCAATTCGAAAACCTATTTTAACCAATGTGCAACAGACTAACAGTCTGAGACTTTATGGATTGCTGCCATATTTCAAACTGAACAAAATTACTGCTCTTCTAAATAAATCCCATTTCAGTTAAGTTCACAATAGCAAAAATGATGACTTAGATGGCGTAATGTATCTTAAGCACCTCATCCAATAACGATTCACAACCTCACAAAAATAACCTCAATCTAAGAATCTGCGCCTAACTTACTGTTGGTGGTTGTGTTACGAAGACAACAGCGATTTAACACATAAAATCTCTTCCCCACCTTTGACGACAATTTTTTATAAACACAGAATCAATGATTAAGCTGTAGTCTAGATGACGGCTAGCAGTGGAATCCAGGACGCGCGTTTTAACCTATGTAGGACTCGTCAGCTGGATGTACCCACACTCCAGTGAGTGTTTTTCCTACTGAGACTCGAACCCATTACCCACGGCTCCAAACGCTATAGGGTTATCCACCAGGTCACTGGAGTAAGAGAGCCACCACTTATGCAACGAGCATCATTTGTTGTAGTTTGACACTTGTAATTTCCTGTTGCTACACACAGTCAAATTGCTCGAACTCTGTTGGCAGATGGGTTCCCATGTGGATCCGTCTATACTGACTGTATATTCACTACATTGTATCCTATTAGATGGCTAGTAATGGGATCCAGGACGCGCGTTTCATCCTATTTGAACGGTTACGCAATCGGTCACTGAACTATCACAACTGATCTAACCTCATAAGTCAGTGAAATGATCAAAGTACTAACCATTCTCTACCATCAGAAGAGGTATTAACCAAGACCAATCCTGAAAAACCAATCTGCATTTGGGAGGTAAGAAACGCATTATAAACATTTTCCAATTGTAAAACATTGTGCAGAAGAATATTCATGACGCTAGGACAGGAACACTGATTCCTCATGTATTCTTGTTTCTTTACTGTTAAGAAACTGCCTAGTAAATATCTGCGCAAAACATGCTATCAACTGATAACACCCAGGATAAAGAGTATTCTTATGAGATCTAGGAAATCTGCGTATGTAAGGTAGTTACGGTCAGAGATTAAAGGGTTAATAATGGTAATGGAAAGTAGATACAAACAACTGAATGAAATCTTCCCCAACCTTGAATCGTTTTAACGCGATAAGCTGGTAGTTCCACTATCAGATTTGCCATTGCCTGTTGAGCCATTTTCCGTACATCTTCGTCAACATGTAAACAAACTTTAGCTAAAATTTCCAAAATTTCCTGTTTAGTCATGTCGATAGGAAGCAGACGAGGAATACAGGCGACACATGTCTTTAATAAATCCAACTTTGGCTTGCGATCCGCCCTATTACAGAAAAACAAGCAGATAAACTATTTAATAAGAAGCAAACAATTAATAAAATAGTTTGCATCTATCAAGAGCTTTTTCCAGACGGTGCTATCTTATTTTGCAAGTTAACAAGAATATTACTTATGGGGATGTCTTCACCTGTTTATGCAGATCATGCCATGTGATGGACTTCGAATGTGGATGAACAAAGTCACCACCAAAAGTGGATATCAGTTTGAAATCGTTAGTTACTGAAAATTTATGACTTTTTAATGCTTTACAATTCAATAAACATATTAAAATAGTATGACAGATAATGCCGTCACTTGCATCATCTCGTCGCCGAGTGGGTCGAATTGGTCGGTTTCCACTGGTATATGGGCTCCTGCGCGGATACCACGATATTGCCTGTGGTGGCTAGCAGTGGAATCCATCACCTTGAACAAGGTGATGTACGAACCCAGTACGCATTTTATTCAGACACTGCCAGACGATCTATCGATAAACGGAATCTAATACCACCTTGTGGCTAAGAAATACAGCTATAGTCAGGTACTCATTGGAGAGTCTGTATCCTAAGACCTGGCACAGTAGCGAACAAAAGAAAACTCAAAGCCAGACGAAATGTTTCTTGGTGTTCCGTCCATCGTCCTGGTCATCCATGCGAGTGGATCGCAGACCCATCCTTCTCCACTACAATTTGATAGGTCCGATGCTTTAACCACATCTTCTTACTAGAGACAGTTTTTTCCACTTATTTAGCATTTGTTGCCCGTCCCTCCTTAAGGCCACTGTTTAGCCTGCTTTACTAGTTAATCCTTGAGTCGTTATCGTTTTTCATTGGATAAAAAGTCTAGCGATGTATGTTCAGGTGCATGCATTGGTTCAAATAAAATTATTGCATCAAAGGAAATTCAGTCAACTCCCAAATCACGTCCTGTGGTTTCGTGCTGTGTATTTATGTAACTTATATAAACAAACTAATGACTCGTCAACAGAAATATAAAATTATTCCACAAGCGAAAAGTTCAACTCTACTTTCAATAAAATACTCAACGGGGTACAGCCACCAAAAAAAATTAACCACTACTTACGTCATTAGCTCGTCAAATTCTTTCTGAGTTACTTCTTGTTTTGGCAACATCATTGTACGACAAACCTGAGTGTCCAGCTGACGTAAAATGAGTTCAAAAGCTCTCCGTACAGGTACCAAATAACTTTGTATTCCTAATAAAGAGCCTAAAGCTTCGTTCAGATTGGTTCCGTGAAAAGAGCGCTTAATAACAGCCTGTCTAAACCCGCTACTAACTCCACCGGCACCAATGCACTGCTGAGGCATCGGAGGTTCACCTTCTTTCTGTTGGAGACCATGTGCTATCAGTAAGAAGGCGCATAATCCGACATTTATTCTCTGTAAAAGGTAACCAAAACCAACGACAGATGACAAAGTAATATATGAATAGCTTAAAAATATTTGAGGAAGAAATCTTATGCATAGTTAATGAAGTTGTTAGAATTATAAATTGAAAGTAGTTATCCCAAGGCAGTATTGGTATATTATATCTTTCTGAAGCGTACTCCATCCATATTCTAATTATTCCACTGAGTCCAAAATCAGAAATTTGAATTTAAGGTAAAAAGAATTCCATGTATGTACTCACCTTACACATCCACTAGCACTTGAGAAATACCCTATTTTATCAGTGAAAAATAAACAGAAAGATAATCGAACAAAGTGTTTAAATTACTAAACACGATCACTGGTCTGTTGCTATTTGTACAGAAGACCAGTTACTCGTACTGTCGGTCATCTTGTTTGTTGGTGTTGTTTCTCACGATTTTCTAGCATCCTCAGTACTTGTAAACAAACACTTATCTAAGTTTATGTACATCTAACAAAGACGGTAAAAATTTTCTAAAAAGTCATTGTCCTCCATCTCATATTTCAAGAGAACTTCACAAAGTGAAGAAACAATACTGCAAAAACGGATTATATTTTTTTCAGTGACTGAACAGTAATCATACCACTACTACTTGGTACAAACTTCATTTTATCATTGAAATAACACTAACGTGAACTTGAAACGCCTGATGATTAAGCGTACAATAATATCAATAATCAACATGACATCACATTAGACACTTACAAGTAATAATATCCTCGTCATAATAATGAGCGCCTACTGAGTGACATACAGCAATACTGATGAAGAGATATAGAACTCAATAACTAAGCGCGTAGTTCAAACATGACTCTATTGACGCATAAGAAGTATTACTAGCCCCAACACAATCGGGTTGCTCATCGCCTACTGTACGACCGTGCACATGGTTCCTGAGTGCATTATTATAATTACTGTTCTTCTTCTTATTATTATTATTCTTACCACTATCATTATTACTATTACTACTGTTATTATTATTGTTATTATTATTATTATTAGTGGCGGCGGTGGTGCTGCCAGTAGTAGTAGTAGTAGTAGTAGTAGTAGTTTTACTCACGGTATGCTAGTATTTTCAACATTTTAATCTTTGTGATCCAGTCTTGCACTTATCTATTAATTTCCACTTAAACCTCAATAGTATACTTAACTAGATAGCCAACAACGTGGCATTTACTCCTCCCCTTTAATTGACCAAACCACTAGATGAGAATTAAATGGTTGAAATGATTTGTGAGATGAAGGGAGAAGAGACCGAATTTATTGCTTGAAACTGTAATGAAAAAAGAGAAATTGAGTTAATTATGTAACTGATTAACTGAGTTCAGTACCCACATAATGATATAAGCCAGAAATTTTAAATTATAATATTACCTCAGGCATGACTAGGGCTTTCTGTGATCCATTTACTCCCAGTCGATCAATGATAACTTCTTTCATTGCAAATTCAAGTTTCTCCTAATCAAAGATGAGAAGATCAACAGCAAATAAAGTATACTCAAACATATGTATTATTACTATAATTTGCTTTTTCAAACAAAATTCTCTACAGTTTTAAAGTATGGTGCATCGCACAAGCTTCAAGTGATCAAAACACATTCCACTAAAATACCTATTCACTATGTCGAATAAAAAACTATTTATCAAGGTACTGTGATGAACAGCTATTAAACCATATAGGGTACCTCCGACGGACATAGGCATACTTCATTCTGATTCACTTCATTACACAATAGCAGAACTAATAATATTCCGATGTATTTTGTGATATAAATAAAACAAAACGAAGTATAATCGCGTCTGTACAATCTGCCAGACTTCACACCTACAGGAGATGAATTATCATCCGTAGTTTCAATTCCATCTGGATAGTAAACCTCCACTAGAATGACATATTCGTTTAAACGGATTTCATATTGTTATGAGAAACGGCAGTACGATTTATGATTTGGTACTATTGCTAACTTATTTGCATAACAAACTAGTCACTTAAGAATGCAGCAAGCAGTTTGTTATATGAAAACGAAGCATTCTTATCAAATGATAAAAAGATGGACAACAAAGATGCATAGGAATGGATGCAATGAAGTTCAGAGGAATTTACACAGTACAACAAGTCTACTAAGAGAAAATTTTGTGCACGAATTTCGAAAACATACATAACCCCTTCGTATGGCCAGCTTTACTAGTGTTTCTGTAGTAGAACCACGATATAATAAGGTAGACGAGTGGTGGAGACTGGGGACACCAAAACGAGTAATATATCAAACGACCCAACCTAATACGTCTCTTCCAATTCAAGGGTGAAGTCAGTGTCAACATTATTTACTGATACACATAGGAAAAAAGGGTCAGTGATTCTTCCTTTGATGAAATTAATAACCATGGCTTCCATTTAACTTAAAGATTACGCTCTTTGGTTTCAAGTATTCATAATTTCCTGAATGCCTATTGTTTTTCTTTCGTAACTAAAATGTCCCTCAGATGTGTAGGGAAATGAACCTTGCAGCTGCATCTAAGATCATTATCAACATAGGACCAGGCATTACTGCGTAACGGTCCGAGCTGAAGTGTGGCAACTCGGATACTATACCAGAAAGGTCTGTTGGATAGTGGTTAGATGAAAAGCAGTCACCGTTATAGTGTAAATTGCTACACTATGATGGGGGTCTGAGGGTGAAGTCGTACTGCTGCTAGCTGAATGGGGTGTGACAGCAGTAAGGTGTTTCCCTTGGATGGCCAGCAGTGCCATGCTGATGCTGCCTTCTCAGTGGAAGGGGGGGGTTAGAAAAGGTCGGCCCCAAAAATAAAACACTCCACCATGCCCCACGGTCTGCCGGGCCGGCGGTGTTGGTTCACTTGTCGTTTCCTTACGACCATCCGGCCCCAAAACGACAAAAGTTCAAAATAATCATACTCAGAAGGCTTCGTGTGACAGGCCTCAAGCAGATGTCCGATGGGCTCTGCGGTCACACAAATCTCTTTCAGGTACCTCAACAAGAAATAGCCTTCCACGGTGTGGGCAGCCGGGAAGTGTCAACCGCCCTCACAACTCTGTCAGCACTCAAGTTTCTTCTGACTGCTATCCACCTCTCAACCCTGCATCTAAGATAAGTTTAACTGTTGTAGTACCATCGACTAACTAAGCTGGATCAAATAGTTTCAACAACAGTCATAAGCAAGAACGATAAACTTAGCAGAATACCATGAAATCATGATACTTCATAGCTATCAAGTGTTAATTATTAGAACGAAATAAATCTCTACACAATATTTTCAATTCGTAAGTATACGTGCCATTACAAGATAAAGAATAAGAGAGATGAAAAAACAACCAGTAATAAAAAAATGGAATTAGGGTGGTAGTACTAGGATTATAAAGAAGTGTTCGTGATTCCTTAGGACAATGACAAAGCTATCATAAACATAAAAATGAGACGGAAGGATCAGTGCAAGTAAGCACTAACAAATCATAATCACAACTATGATATAGTACAGTTAAAGAGGGCGACAAAATTCGTTACCAAAATAGTTAGAGACTAACCAATGAGCCTTTGGGGAAACACAGACCAGATCTTAACCGTTTAAACGAGAATACCTCTGTAGACTAAAGTAAACTAACATCATACTGAGAAAACAACAATTCGAGAGGGATACATTTCTCGAGGAAGTTGTGAAACCCAGAATTAACGATACTTATTAATTCATTGACAGGATACGAGATATGTACGTGAATAATTAGTGTATGAGATAGCAGAAACAGAAAGATCTATAAAATCAACGTAGGATCAGGCATCACTGCTTAATGGTCCAAGTTAAGAAAAACCTCATTTTAGCACATCAAGCAAGAAAGCACTTGGGCTGAACATAAAAAAATGTAAAAGAAAGCAGCCAAAAGTCGTAAAAAGTAAACAGGAAAGGAAGGAGGAATGAAAAAATACCTCAACTCAGATTGACGATTCAGATGAAGACTTCATGAAATGATACCATGTTTTGGTCTAGACACCTTTAACCTTTTTCCAAACTAAACCTAATTCAACTAACGTTGAACGGCGAGGCAAACGGTGACTAGAAATGAGTGACAAATGTCCCAACTACTTCGGCCGATGAAGGTTCACGACCTCAACTGACTTTCCAATCCTCCCTTAAACTATACTTCTGACTCCTATGTTACTGATGTGGTGACACCAGAAGCCTTCTTATATCCACTACCTTTAATGGCCATGTTTTAAGGCCATAGAGTGAAACAGACCAGTACGTCCGACCCTTAATCGACAGTCAGATATCGCAGCGGCTGTATATATGGAGTAAGTTGGCGAAAGTCAACCAAGCCTTCTGTATCTGTGTAGAGGTTTCGTCGGCCAACTTCCCAAGCAAGTGAGGTGTTCAACGCACTCAACCACTTCACTCACTACTGTTAGCGAGGGGCACCGCTGAAGACCAGTCCTAGAGCAACTATCTGGGTTTAAGTGGAGGGAAATGCATCGTAAGCATTCTCAAGAGGAACTCTCGCCTTCTTGAAGTAGTTGAGACCATCCAGAAGCGATAGTACCTAAGTCCAAGACACTAGTTAGAACTTCAGCTAATCTGACCAATAATCCTATACCACTGTCCTCAAATACACTTGCTACTAGTACGTTTGGCTCTGCTGCTCTTCCCCGTTTCAAGTTAGCTACAGCTTTCTAGACTGTAAGTGTTAGGGGTTCTGTTTCAATGTTCCACTCGGGATCCGACCGTACAGCGGACAACGGTACAGTACCTGGAGATCAGTTGAAGTGCTCCTCGAAGTGTTCTGTCCATTGTTCAGCTCATCTCCCCTGCGAGTGAATCACAAACCCATCCTTTTCCACTAGTGTCTTATTAGCCCCTGACTTTTTTGCCGCAGTTTCCTTGATCAGTCTAAATAAATGTCTGTTGTTATCTATCAACACTGACTTTTCCATCTCTTTAGCTCTCACAGTCATTGCGTAGGGATTTTTTAGTTTATATTTGAGTTGCTTCCGCTCTTTATTGTGCTCGGAGCCTGCACAGATGCGTTCGCGTGCACCCATTAATTTAGAAGAAGCTGCTGATATCCACTGGCTCTTTTCAGTCACTCTTTGAGAGTCAGCTACGGTCTTCAATGCTATTTTTACAGCATACTGGAGATGGCTCCAAGCCTTGGATGAGTGATAGTGTTCTGTTTCAAAAACTGTCAAGCCAGTTTCTCACTGAAAGCAGCCTTAGTGCTCTCATTGTCTAGCTGCACTTGCAATGGTCTTGTTCCTAAGATTTTCTACATCCATTGAGACGCAGACATATTTGGGCTCAAACAAACACGTGGTCGTTGTCCAAGCACGTGCTCCAGAAGAAGCATCAGTCTTCCACCAACTCTCTCCAGCGATGGCAGGTAGCATTGTGGTCTACCTACGTCCATCGCTGAATTGAGCTCGGTGGACGCTATGTCTGACATTGTCTCTTTTTACGTGTGAAGTTTATGCTGGCTAGAAATATGTGTTGTCTGAACACAGTTGTAGTAGGCGATTGCTGTTACCTGCTTGTTCAGCTGGAATTCCGAAAGTGCCACCTAAGTGCCTTTCTGCTTCACTCAGTGTCTACTCACCTCTGCATTGAAATCACCTGCATCAAAAACCACATCTGAGGGCTTGGCTTTGAGTAGGAAGTAATATAGTTTTCGGTAGAACTTATCCTTCACTACATCCAAGCTGAAATGAGAGCGTGCGTAAACAGGGATTAAGAAGAGACAACGATGAGTTTCAATATTCCTTTTAGTCCGTTCAGTCAAACAGCGCATAGGTGACCGTCAACCGGGATCCAGTCAAGCAATGCACTTTTTACCTTAATGCTCAATGCTATACTTAAACCTGTACACATGCGAGGACTAACCCTCGAATCTCCAGAAACCCGAAGGGTGGATTGACTATATTGATGAGGTGAGGTTTAGTGAATAACCGTACTTAAGTCTTGTACGCGTGTATGCGTATATCCATATCCCGAGTTGCTGGGGTTTTGGCTAGTGAAGCTCTGTTGACGGACTTGCCAAAGGGTCCGGACATTTAAAGTTCTCGTGTATAACTTGGAGCGGGGTTTCAGGAGATCAGAGATGCGACTCTGTGAACTCGGACCGTCGTCAGGAGCTGCAGAGCCGAAAGAAATTATGGATGATGAAGGGATGTTGATCGAGAAAAGTGAAGGAAGATTAGAAAGTAAGGATTTGGAAGGTGGATAGTGACCTGATTGGACTTGGAGGCTGACAAAATTGCGGGGATGATTTACAATTGCCGGCTGAAGACCTCATGGAAGGCTATTTCTTCTTGAGTAACCAGTAAGAAAAGGGTTGGTGAATGACCACAGACCCCAAGGGATATCGGCTTGAGGCTGGTCACACAAGGCCTTTTCGCAAGCTTGAGATTTAGATTTATCGTATTAGTACAAGAATATGAACTCATTTCGTCAGCACCGGTATGCAGCGGGGTAAGAGGAAGTGTGTTGTTTTTAGGGTCCACCTTTCCTCCACCCGGCCCCTTCCCATAAGGCAGCATCAGCGCGACACTATTGTTCCCTCAAGGGAAACATCATACTGGTGTCATACCTCCGACCAGTCATCAGTGCGTCTTCGCCATCGGATCCCATTTATAAGGCAAAAATTTGCCTAAATAAAAACATATTTATGATACTAACATCAATCTAAGGCTAAAATATTATCGAATAACCCATGCATTAGGATGATAATGACAATGATGTACTTCTACGAAAATGTCTTTGTTTACTTTGTTTACTCAAACATACTAAGATTCTAATAATTAACAAAACTATGAAGGCAGTTTCACCACTAAACAAACGCCCCTTAGTAATCACACATTTGTGTAATTAATGTGGATCTATTTCTAACAGAATTCGATAAGTTTCAAATAGTTTACACAGTTTCCAATGTTTGAATCCACTTGAAACAACAACCTATTTTTAGGAAAAAACCACAATTTCGTCGTCAACTAGATGGCCTGCATCCACAACAACCCTGATTTAACATATACATTGAAACAAAAATGAAAAAAGAAGGAAATTTTCATATTCAATAAATATGCAAGTCACAAATCATTCAAACAGCAACTTACATGAGCAATGAATTGAATAATACGAACAAATATGTTAATTGGAGCATCTTTCGGTAAAATGATTTTCTGGTTTTTAGGAAACAGACTGTTAATAATTGTATGCAATTTGTTTTGCGTTTCAGTGTGTTTTTCTCCCTTGATACGTACAATGTAAACCCTGGTTATCAACAAATAAATAATCTGATTGAAGTAAAAAACAAAAGCTTTGATAAAACAGTAAGAACAACATTTTCACAATAAAATGACGTTATTCACTCCATAGAATTATCATCAACCAAACACAATGGCGCCCTGGCAGATAATTTGAAACCTGTCATCGATACATATACCTTTTATGCGTGGTAATTCAACAGAACCCTTATCGATTGCATTAATCTGCATCAGGCACTAGACATGCTCCAGATGTTTACTAATGCCTACAGTAATACCAAGTTTGCAATTTCAGCGAAGAGAACCAAACGTATACTCTTGATATATATATCTGAAATGCAAGGAGGACGGTACTACCAAGAGAAGTATTAAGCTTAAAATTATTCGAAGTGGTCAGAATCTAAATTCCAACAGTTTTTGCCCAATTAGTTACAGGGGGGTGAGGGGTGGGTGGGGTTAATGAGAATGATGTGACAAAGAGTAGAGAGCATATACTCTAGACAGAAGCTTCATTCAGAACTGAAGCTGATCGAAAAATGTCTACTAGATAATGGATACCGTCCAAAATTCATTCGAAATTACTTCATGAAGAGCAAGAGATAAGAACGTAATAACGTAGGAGTTTAATCTTCTTATAAATGGGGTTGAAAGGTGATACATAGCACAGCTTAAAGAAGAAACAGGTTAGAAGTGCCAGTTATTGACCTGAATTCTTAAACATGTGCAATGGAATTTGAGCCTTAAAGGCTATGCTTATGTTTACTAATGGAATAGCCCGCTGCATAATGAACATAGGGCATGTAATTATTAAATTACGAGTCTCCACAATCGTCATCAGACAGGACTTCGAGTACAGTGTTTAAGTGAAGTCACAGCCATCGAGTGAATGAGACCTAATGTGTGTTCAAAAAGAAAAGGTTGGTAGTCACTTGATAATAATTGATTTTGTTCTACGAAAATCCCTTTGGCTTTTTCAAATCCCTTCATTTTTCGCTTTTTTTTCTTTTTCTTATCCCTCTTCAATTTCAAATCGGTATTCACAGTTATTTTGGTCAGTAATTTTCAGACAACTAACAGGGTTATTACATTTTTTATCTTGCTCACTTGGCGGTTTTGCACATAACTGCATATTATTACATGAACACTTATTATTATGATAACTAGATTTCTTTATCGGTTTCACCATCTGAGACAGGTGTGGTTTGACATACTTGTATTATCAGTGATGCTGTGTAGTGACCGAAGGTGAAATTAGGATCTGGGTGGTAGCAGAATACGAACAAGTAGCCTCTGGGTTGCCAGTCTAGTGCTCTGTCAATTGAGCTACAACCAGCTCTTAATTTCTCATCAATCAATCACTAAGGGTTTTGAACAACTACTACGTGAATTCCTGCATGATACAGTATCAATAATACAGGTCTGCCAAACTACGACTATCTCAGATAGTCAAACTGATGCTCAGTTCAACTTAGATTGGGGTGAGAAGTCCTGGATAGACGGACAGTGTGAATACGAACGGACAGTTACGCGTCACGAATTCACACGGCAGTTGAGCGAAATCCTCGGTGATTGACGAGAAATGAGCAGCTGGTCAGCAGCTGGGGTATTTTGGCTCGATTAGTGGGGGCAGCGGGCTGGTAACTCAGAGGTCGTTGGTTTAAACCCTGTCGCAGCTTGGATTTTCATTTCAACTTGAATCACCACTCAGTATCAACTAGATTTCTCTCACCTATTCCAGAAAGCGAATTTTCCCTCTTGTAAACATGTCTGAGACCTATATTAAGTTGTCCTTGACGCTGCTCCTTTAACGTTTCAACTAATATCACAAGAGCTCATATGTAAATCTATGTTTGTATATTGGTCATTTATTTATTTAGGTGGTACGCAACTGATGAAAATTCTATGGAATAAGTGACATCATCTTGTTTTACAAATACTGCGCTTATTTTATTACTTAAGTTCATCAAGAGGACTAACTGTATAAAAAAATGCCCCAGTTACGAAGGATAAAACTTCCAAGGTGGACGTAATTACACATTAGGTTTATTTTAGAGTAATCTGGGAGCAGAAAAGATTATGACCTCCGGTGGCTTTCGATAGAATAGCTGCGTCTGCCAATAGTCACTTTCAACATTATGGAACACGCACGCGATTGCTGAATGTAGTTCGAATCCTGAAGTTCAACACCATGCAACTCGATGTGATTGAGACCACAAGTCATTCAGTATGGTCATCCCTAAACACTAATTTTAATGAACTGAACTTGCGTTGTGAATGTTTTATTCCAACCGTTCACAGTTTTTAAGTTTTAAAACTGGCTGTAAAAGGTGGTAATTTTATCATGTGGTGCCGTGGAATGAAGGATATTTGTGTTTGGTTAGCATTTCTCGGTGCCTCATGACTTTTGGATCAGTTTCGAGAGGCAATTCAACTCAATGGCTCCAGACATCAGATATGTATGGCTCAGAATTAAAAAAAGTGGCGATCATTCTCGAGCATTTTTATTTCCTTCTGCTATCAAAAAATAGAAGTTAATCAGAGCTTTCTTGGAAATATCCTTCAGAATTCTTTTTTAGCTGACTCGAATTTTCACTCCTGTTCCTTCTTCTTCCTTTCCTCTGCATCACTTTTATACCTTTATAATGCCGTTACACTATTTCGGATAACGCAATTCTTGGTCCTCATGGTGTAACAAGTTTGCGTTTGAAACAGGTATCAAGAAACCCACTGAAAGTTATAAGTATATTGGAATTCAACAACTAAAAAGTTATGGGCCTTTGAAATATGAGATTGAACATACTTCTGCAAGCGGGGATCAGGCTTCAATTGGTGAATCGACAGTGATGCATAGCTGAAGCACTTATAATTCACCAATTCAGGACTTTAAAATAGACTGTCATTTGCAGTAATCTAAGAATGAACACTATGATCTAGGGATTTCATCATTGCACACTAGCATACAGAAGTTCAACTTAAAGTAAGGAAAAGAAATCTGTGCGAATTTTGTAACGGTGACAGAGTTTATAGTGATATAACCACAAAGTACGTAAGTTTCTCAATAGATGGCTACAGAGCCAAAGACCAGATTTTTAACTGTTAATATATACTTCAGTTGCAGTAGCTGAATTATACCATTCTTCATTACACTAGTGTGGTTCACACTGCTACAAAAACGTCATAGAGGTTCATCAATTTATCATACTTATAAAACCTGGAATATATCTGAGTTCGATCACTTGTCGAAAAACTCCAAACAAACTATCCTATGAGCTGATTACCAAAAACCGTTTAAGTTCAAGTCAATCGATTAGTGTGATCAGTGAAGAAAATATGCAAAACCAAACACCTTCACTCTATTGTCTTATATTGAGCAGAAAGTCCCAATACTATACATCGTTTTGAACATTGGGTTTACTGAGTGTATTAGTTGAAATTCAAGTACAGAAAAAAACTTATTTTACCTTCATTCGGAAATTTAAGAATGTATGAGAGGAAAAATATTGAAATAATACAACCAGGGACTTACCAAAGTATGCATGACAGAGACTGTAAACTGACCAAAGCCACTTTAGAAGTTCGGTTTTTAAGATGACTCAAGCAAATAGACAAGAAATTGGTCCAATTATTTAAGAAAAATGGTTTAGTGCCAACACAAAGCAAACATGTGACCAAGGGGAATAATGCCTTTGAAAAAGAAGGACAAAGTAAAGGTGTTAAAAATTACAATTATCTTCTACATATTTTAAAGTCGTTTATTTTTCATGTGCATGTGTGCAAAGTTTATGAAATGTAACATTTCGTCTTTCAAGTAACAAACATCGATAAAAGATACCACTTACCATGCATTATTTCTGTAAAAATGGATACAGTAGAATAATTGAAGTACAGTGGAATCAGCTGGCTGAAAAAGCAGTACACTGAGGGAGAAAGACCAAAGAACGTCAGTGAAGATCAACCAGTATCTACTGAGTTTTTGACCAAAAACAACATTTTATCAATTCCCAGTGCCGAGCCATATGACCAAGTGATATATATATATATATATATATATATATATATATATATATATATATATATATATATATATATGTAATGTGGTTATGATAACGGAACTGAGTCAATAACGTCATTTGAATACACACTACTGATTTACCATTAGGTGTAGTCACCTACCTACAATGTAGACGGATTCTAAAAACACTACTATATCAACTCACAGACTAACGAAAAAGAATTTTTACCGCTTATACATGAGAAGAGTACGACACGTAAGTAAAGGCATTCTAAATATATCCTTGTGATCATTTATCTGTTGAATAAATGCACGTGTTATAGTCAATCAGCATCAACCGGAGACCTGGTATTATCGTGTAACGATTCAAGTTGCACCATCTCATATCAGCACATCTAGGAAGAATGCACTAAGATGAAAATTAGTAGAGAGTTGTAAAAAAAAAAAGCAGGATTGAATGAAACAATGATGAAATTTGACATGACGATTAATCTGAAGACAGTGAGTATATACATCTGTGGCACTCAGACTAATCCTGAGTAACACCATGTAAAGTCTTAAATCACCAATTTAGTTTGACACACTGGTCCCAAATAGGAAGTCTACATTTTCTTAAAGGCCTCAAACCAAGCGTCAGAGGCTTCGTGGACTCGTGCCATAACTTAGTCTGACCGCTTCTAACCATTTTCCAACCCGAACCTACTTTAGCTAACATCGCACGTACATAATCGTAAAAAACCTGATAGAATAAAGAACATAACAGAATACATAGTATCAAACTTATCAACCTAAATTGCTGATGAGTCATTTTTCTGTCGTAAGAGCACACTATGCCGAAAGTATTAATACAGAAATCCACAAATAAAACAACAAACTTCTATTTAGCACAACGATTCGACCCTTCCCTTTCAAATGTGATACGGAAGGTGTTCGGAACAACCGCGCCCCCCCCCCCTCCACCGCAAAATAAAGTGAGTGAAAACGTTATTTACAGTTGTTACACAGAATCATTCGAATCACGCAGATTAAATCACTAAACTCGAAGTAATCCCACAAATTATAAACGTACAAGGCAAATAGTTACTTAATTATCCTCCTTAAAATGTAGTATATTTAAAGCTGAACGACAGTTTTCACCTGAAAGCACCGGTTGTTGTAGTGGTATAGATACCACACGCGTTCATGTATCTACTAGCAAAAACTGTGACAAATAAATGTACGCTTATCAATTACACCGGCCTGCACGACAGAGTAGCACTATGAACCTTCAAACTAAGTGCGCTGCTCATAACCAAGTGCCTAAATCGATATTAACTTGAGTCGCATCACTCAACTAAATTAATTACAAGAACATGAGAACAGTTACTCAACGACGGCATTGAATGGAGGTCGCACCGTGTCGTGAACTGATAGAAGTAGGAGATAGAGACCATTGGATTCCGACCCAATGGCTCAAGGGTGACATGTTGGCCACGGAACCCGAAAGTCTTAAGTTCAATTGCTAGAAAGCCATGGGTGCGCACTGCTGAGAAGTCCCATACCGGAACGAAACAGCTGTGCAGTGCTTACAGGTTTCCAATGTCTCTCCAACTGATGTCAGTCCATGATGAATACCAACCTGAAACTCATTATAAGAACCTTTATTCTGCAACTTTAATAATGTAGGTAACACTACCTTAACATATGACTTTCTTTAAACCAGAAATACTGTACACTTTATCCAAGTAACACTATGTAGCATAAAAATTTCCTCATCAGCTGTTGGAACGTAGAAATTACATGTTCCGAAATAAATTTATTACCGATCGTGTGAATCGACAGTTGAATAAAGTTCCACCACCATTGATTTCCCCCCTGTACACATCAGTTTCCGTCAAAACGGAACATATCAAGCAAGGAAAACTCAAGGTTATGACACTAAAATATATCTTTCAGTAGCATGAAGGAATCATTAATGAGATTACTGTTGACTGATAAACCAAATACCTGCGTTGTAGACAGAATTTCACACTAGGGGATTCCAGCAATATGGATTCCCTTACAACAAAATCTTAAATACTGCCACTGAGTTAAAAAAAGAAAAAAGATTACGGCGAATAAGTTTGTTTTTGACGATCTCATCCTCAGCAGCCTCACAATCTCATTTAAATATGATTACTGTGCACATTTATTAGTGAGCAAATAGTAACTGAGCTAAAAACTGTTAGCATGCAGGCTTCTGCGCGATAACTTTGTAGTGCGTAAACAACCATCGTGTTATAATATTCTTGGTGGTGGCTAGCAGTGGAATCCAAGACGTACATTTCGGCCTATTCAGAACTCAATCCCATCTTCACTGAATACCACTTACACACTTTGTTGAAAACTCTTCAAATCTAAATTTCAACTAACAATATCGTGTTTCTAACATAACTTTCATTCCGATATTATTGTCTTGGTTACAACCCACATAGAACTGACAAATATCGACATATTTTACAGATAAGTGTGTAAAATATTTAAATGTGATTGTGCGGCCGTTGAGGGTGAGATCGTTAAAAAAAAACTGCTTCGCCACTATCATTCTCCTTTTATAACAACAAAATCTCAACAGTTTATTATTAATCCACATAAAGCATACACTTCCTTTTCATTGCCATGTTTTAATGGAAAGTGAAGACGATGACAAAATGCACGGTCTTTTAAGCGCGTCCAGCGGAGTATGTTTGGAAACCGTTTCGTACCTGACAAATGTGAGACGATGCTACAGGACTGGTCTCAAACTATTCCTAGTTTATTGATAGGGAGTAAAGTGGTCGGATGCATAGACTACTTCATTTACTTAGGGGGTCCCATCAGCTGGAAAGCGTTGGTTTTTGATGAAATCTCAGCTCATATACAGAAGGCCCGTTCGATATTTGCCAACCCTACGTCACCTCTGACACCGACTGACGAGATATCCGACTACCCATTAAAGGACCAGTATACTCCACTTCGTTCCGTTCTGTCCTGTTACGCGACTGTGAGACATGGTTAATAAAAGTGGAGCATATGAAGCGGTTACAGGGTTGTGATCACAAGTGTCCTTGTAGCATTTTCCACGCTTAGTGGAATCATCATGTGAGCAATATAAAGGTGAGATGAAGGGTACTATACAAGAAAGGCAAGTCGATTTGTGGTGTTGTGTGAACCTTAGTCGACTGAGGTTGCTCAGACATGTGTTGCGCATGCTGAGCCACCACCTACCTCGACATACAGTGTTAAGAGAAGTTAGGTGGATCAGGGTGGTGGGATTAAGAAGTAGCACCAGTGAATGAAGTCTCAGACTGTTGGTTTGGGCCATGTAGGGAGATGTAGACTGCTTGGCTGGTGTCTCCGAAACGATTGGAATCAGTGATTGAGGACTCTTGATGACATGGCTGAGATAGGTCACAATAATGCAGATGTGTTCACTCGTTGTCGCTTTCTGAAGCTTGGATGTTTTGACTAACCTTCATTTTGAAATTCATTCTCCTCTTATACACCTTTGTGTACTTTGATATCAATTTTTTCTACGCACTTGATCTTTATATACCTATATGAAGTGTGGTAACTTCAGCCAATGTACTCGTGTGCGAGGTTTTGGGGTAATTTTGTCTGCATCTCTGTCTATCAAACCATATCTATCGCAAATAGACTTACGGGTAATTTTAAAAGGTTATAATTATGTTAATACTGTGGTATATGTGATGAGGCACGAAGAAAACACTTACTGGGACATGCTTCTTCTTACTAGCTAATTCCAAACTTGTTGGATATAAATTCTCCACAAATGTTTTCAAAGCTGGGATATTTACTTCTTGACGCGCAACTGCAGCAACAGGCAACAAAATCTCGACAAATAAATCAGATAAAACATGCTTGATTTCAATTTCTTTTACTTCTAGAAAGTATTGGCCCAATTCTTGTAAAAAATTGAAACAATTCACAAAATCTTCAATGGGATGCATCTAAAATTCGTTATGATAGGAAAATATTCAACTATACAACGTAATAAATGCAATTACTGATAAATACTTGAAACATTCAATGTCACATTAATACCGCCTAGCTCAATAGTAACTTAAAATCTTTCCTTACCATTGACCTACGTGCTTTTCATAAGCCAGTTTATGGCCATCCGCTGAATAAACCATTTGACTTCTTTCAGCGTAAGATGCTACAACTACGCATTTATCCCACACATATAAGCATGACAGTGTTCACAGACCATCAAAGACATTCAATGTTAATCCTGGTGTTTAGATCTCTGATACACAATACCTTACATTGGAAATAAGAAATTAGACCAGAGCGGTTGTTGGAGGGGATTTTCAAAAATAAGATTCCTTTTTACAACAAAGATAATTCTCAATTCACTATAGTGCTTATTGATAAACTTATTGGTGAACACGCGATTTCACATCAATATTCTAATGTTAATGTAAAAATCTTTGACCAGAAAATAACCTTACTGTGGATACGTTGTCCATCGAACGATCGCTAAACAAAGAACTATCTATGCATAAGCATAAAAGTGTTGACTCACAATGAGAAATAACCATCTTTCAGAAGCACCAGCAACATTTGCCAAGACTACATCCTTGCCAAGTGATGTCCAACTACATGGTGCACACGTGAAAGAAAATAAAACCTAAACAAGGTTTCATATTGACGAACTGCTTAACTCATAGTTACTCCAAAACATGATTGATCGTTAAATAACGCGGAGTGACTGGTAAGACCGCGAAAATGAAGGTTAGTTTTAGAAAATATAATTGGTTTCCAAAATTGGTCTCACTAGGTAGCAACCAGTTACGGTTGATACTAATAATAAGAACGGGTGACGTAATTTTACTTATTCATTTATTCGTATGTTAACTTTCCTTACAGTATTCTACCAACCTAATAATGAATCGAACCGAAAAATAACCAGCAACTTTTTGGACCTTTGTGCAGTAGGATACGAGTCACACCTAATGTATGCTGGTTAGTAATACTACTTGCCTGCCTAAACCTCAATAGGTGGAGCTGGGTTCGAACCAGTGACCCATCGGTTCGGAGTCAAGTGTCCAGTCCAATGAGCCACAGCTCCACAGATAATAATGTACAGTCGCAAAAAATCATTTACCCTAATGGAACAGAAACACTTACTTTTATTCGAAAAATTTCATCCCCATAATAAGAGACACAATACTGGCTCTGTTGTTTGGACTATTTTCTTTGGCTCGTAGATCATTCAGACAACCCATAAATTTATGACGCACCAGAGCGAATCTAGACAGACAGGAAGGAAAGCGTTTAAATAAGTTACTGCTACTGTATGGTGCACCAATTCAAACTTCAGATTTAAGAAATTGGGTTTATACTACTGAGTAGACAGCATAATGCGTCTGGAAAAAAAACAAGGAAACTAAGTGAGAGGAATTCACAGATATCCAAAAAAATTTAAGATTTAACGGTTTGAGAAAATATGAGTATTAGGCAGATGATATATGTATTATTTCGATATCTTTATTTCCTAATGAATGTAAAACAACTATGTTTTCAGGGTGGTATTCATCACGGACTGACATAAGTTTGAGAACTATTGGAAACCTGGAAGTAGCGGACAACTGTTTCGTTTTAAATTCATTGGGGAATACAAACACATTAAAAAAAACAATAATTGACAGCAAATTTGCAGCAAACACAAAGTGTACTGTACACTTTTATTTTTCAGACAGTAAGGGTTGATTCTAAACTTTTTAGTGGTTTCGTTAGACGTTTAGCTCTGACTAAATTGTAAATCAATGTTTGTTATTATCAGCAATCATTTCGGAGATATTCTCTCAATACTTCATGATAACCAGTAGATATGTTGCAAACCTTAATATAGGTGTAAAACTCCGGCACTGTGGCAGAATTTAATTCCACATTAGATTTGTTCATTTGATTTATAACACACAGTGATCTAGTATTACTTACTTGATGACGTTTCGAGCATAAATTATTGCAAACCTTGTTATTTAATGAAGAAGGAACGAATCTTTCTCAAACATAATAAATTGTATTGACTGGTTGCATTGAGTGATCACTGGAGAACAACCAATCTCATGTTGTCTAATCCAAAGTGCTGACCGAATTCTATCGGTTGTTTTTCAATGTGGTCACCAAGCTAGGAGGCTCACCATTACGGTACACTTTTGACGGATGTTAGATTGTTGGAGGCAATCGGCAGGAAGTCCCGGACTTAGGTTTCGTGCTTGTTGGCAGTTGTCTATGACGATTTCAGAAAAGTACACTAAGTTTTACCAGCTATGGCGTAGTTACATACAATCAGATAATCTTAACCTTCGTGTATATTCCGTACAAACCTAGTACAAGGACTGCAAAACCGTCACATTTGCACAGTTATGTCCTATGGATTCGAAGGTAAATCAGTTTAAACCACACACAGTGCTAACAGGGAATATCAAAAGGTTACTCCACAGGATAGAGAGTTACTACAGCTACGTGTGATTCGGTAGGTACTGGTCTTAAATAAGAATGACCGCTTCCTTTTTGTTATTAACAGGAATGAGTTGACTAATTTTTCAGTCTAAGTATCCGAACTTAGTGTTTATTTTATGCTGCTGCAATTCATATTATCATTAATGGCGCTGTGGGTCAATGGTTTAGGGAGATGACTTTCAACCAGCGGGGGGAGGCTTTGAACTCAGGTTAATCTACCGAGGTTTCAACAACCAGGTAGTAACATTAGCCATCACGCTAGAGGTGTGGCTCATTGCTTACTGCACGGATGTGCACCAGGTGGCTGAGTGCATTTCGTTCGCTTTTTTCATATTACCATCAGGCAGACTTGACAGTATGTTCAGGTACTGCAGTAATGATACTTGTAATTTTCCTTTGCTATACAGGGTTAAATTGCTTGATCTCTGTTGGCAGATGGGGTCCTATGTAGACACCTCGATACTGCCAGATATTCATGATGTTATATTGATCTTGATGACTGGCAGAGGAATCCAAGATGTGCGTTTCGACCTATTTGGGACTCGTCAGCTGGATGTGCCTGCACCCCAGTGAGTGATTTTGTTACCAGTGCGGCTCGAGCCCAGTACCCCTCGCTTCAAAAGTCAGAGCAGGTACATCCAACTGACAAGTCCCATATAGGACGAAACGTGAACTCTAGATTCTTCTGTTAGTCATTAAGGTCAATGTGTAGGTACTTTTAGGAATAAATTACTACAGCTTGCGTAAAATAAATATGTACACAATGACCTCTTACTGATAAGTCAAAAAACACGAAATTTATACTTAGGGATTTTTGTTTATTCCCACAAACTTTTCAACATCAAAATAGATGTATATACCTGTATAAAGACACACAGGTAACTAGGTTCTGTGTATCGTCGATCGGAAATATCAAGCTGAAATAATATAACGCATTATTTTTATCAAATGATAAACATTTTACATCGAAGATTTAAAGTATATGTTTCAGGTCCTATAATGATAATTGCAAATTAAATTAAATGTCACTTTTACAACTAGACTATGAAGCACATATTTATGTGATAAACTATGGTAATACTCGGTTGACTAGGTCACAGTAAGTAGAGCAAAATTTAAAGTCAAGTGCTGAATTTTAGAATAAATGTTTACAATTTTTGGGTCCACAGTCTTCTTTTAATTAAAACTAATCGTAAGTGGGAACCTCGCCTGGTTAACTAGTTTACTAGTCACTAGCCGGTCCTAAGCCCGAGTAAAGAGGGAAGGTTGGGCATAGGGCTAGCAACCCTACCCCGTTAAACAAATCCAACCGCTAAACAAACTTCAAAGCACAAACGACATATAAAAAATAATAACAAAATTATTCCTCACTGGGATCAGAGAGGCGAAATGACGACAGTTGGTGAAAGCCTCCCAGAAGCCAATTGGCCCATGTGTCTTCTCTCTCTCGATGAAAGAGAAAGTAAACATGGGGACATGGAATGTCAGCACCATGTTTGAACCCAGCAAGGCAGCCCACATTGCAAAAGAGATGAGAAGGTATGGCATAGAAGTGTTGGGAATCTGCGAAAGTAGATGGAATGGAAGTGGACCCTCCAAACTGTCAACTGCAGAGTCAATAATCTACTCCAATATTGTCATCCAGACGACAACCACGAGCACAGCACACTGAGTTTTCGAGTGGCTATCATGGTGTCTCCTTGAACAGCATCGAAGACTCTCTCTCATGCAGTGGGAACCAATCTCCTCCTGCAAGATCATAACAGCAAGTTTCAACTCAAAAGGAAGGAAGGTCACAATCATACAATGCTACACTATGCACCTACAAATAATGCAGATGAAGAGAAGAAGGAGGAATTCTACAGACAACTTCAATCAACACTCGACAAGACCTCACTGCAGTTGGCGATATCAAAATTCTAATGGGCGACATGAATGCCACACTGGAAGCACATAACACAGGAAGAGAACTAATCAGGGGTCGAGTAGCGCTCGGTGAGGTGATGAACGAGAATGGAGAATTGTTTTCAGAATTCTGTGCATTCAACGATTTGGTGATTGGAGGCGAGGCAGTGTGTTCAAGCACAAGGATATCCACAAAGTGAGCAACATGGATTTCACCAAACACCAGGACACACTACACTAAAAATCAGATCGACTTTATCTCAATCTCAAGAAAATGGAGACGCAGTCAGCCTACTTGACACAAGGTCAAGAAGAGGAGCAGATGTAGGTTCACACAACTCACTGTCTAGTGCAAGGAACCTGCCTTCAAAATCAAGTTAAAAGCCTTCAAGAAAGCTGGTGACAGACGACCGCAGTTCAAGTACAACACTCGGAAACTGAAGGATGAAACTACAAAGGAAATCTTCACGCCGATCAGCCATCAAGACAAAATGGGAGATATCGAGGAACATCCCTGAAGAGACCTGTGTGGAAGAACACTGGAAGTCTTTGAAAGCTATGTGGAAAGAAACCTGCACAGCCGTATTAGGAAGGAAGAAGAAAGAAGACAAGATAAGGAATGGATCTCAATGGATACATGGAAGCTGATAGAGTAGGGAGAGGAGGATGGTGAAGCAGAAGATAAACCAGTGCAAAGATGTCCAACGACAAGAGGAACTGAGCACAATTTATAAAACACTGGACAAAGAAGTGAAGAAGAGTGCACGGAAAGACAAAAGACACTCCCACGACACATTGGCAAGTGAAGCAGAACAGGCTGCAGGTAAGAGAGACAGAGACTTGACAACATTGTATCAAACAACCAGGTTACCATCTGGGAAGAGATCAACGCAGACGAAACCAATAAAAGATGATGACGGGAATATAATTACCAAAGAAGGGAAACAAAGGAAAAAATGGGCCGACCACTTCAAGAAGCTCTTGAATCGACCACCACCACCACCTGCACTTCGTCCAGAAATACCACCTCCAGCCCAGCCACAGAACTACAAGTGAACATAAATCCCCCGACGGAAGTCGAAGTCCTGAGCACCATGAAGCTACTGAAGTGTGGGGAAGCAGTAGAACCAGACGGAATCCCGCCAGAAGCACTGAGAACAGATGCAGAGACGACAACAGCGGACATGCTCACACCACTATTGCAGAAGGTCTGGAAGGAAGGGAAGGTACCTGGTTAGTGATTGGAAGAAGGGTTACCTTGTCAAACTCCCGAAGAAGGGAGACTTAAGTGTTTGCAAGAACTGGCGAGGAAGCACTCTCCTGTCCACCCAAAGCAAGCAAAATATTAAGCCGCATCATCCTGGAGAGGCTAAAGGATGCGCTGGATTCAAAACTACGACCAGAACAGGCTGGCTGGATTCAGGAAGTACAAATCATTTGTGGATCAAATTGCAACGCTACACTACGCGTCATCATAGAACAGAGTATAGAATGGCAGTCAACTCTACACCTCAACTTTATCGACTTTGAGAAGGCCTTTGACAGCGTCGACCGAGAGGTAATTTGGAAACTGCTTCAATACTACGCAATACTACAAACCTTTATCAGCCTCATTCAACAACTATCTGAAGACGCCACATGCCAAGTAATTCACAGTGGGAAGCTCAGTGATGCTTTTCAAGTGAGAACGGGAGTGAAACAGGGTTGCCTACTATCCCCCATGATATTCCTGATTGTGGTCGACTGGATCATGCAGTAAACAGGGGGGAGCGAGAAGAGGGGGATACACTGGACTGCGGAAAAGAACCTAGAAGATCTGGATTTCGCCAGTGATGACTTGTGTCTTATGTCGTAGAAACTTGAAGATCTACAGGCGAAAACTAACAAGTTGACAGAAGAGGCAGGGAAGCGAAGACGGGACTTCAGGTGAATATAGAAAAGACAGTGATGAAGATATCCGACCAACAACTCCAACAACAACAACAAACTCCAGTCACCATGAACCGGAGAAACTTAAAGGAAGTAGCCTCCTTCACCTATCTAGGAAGCACTATTTCAACTACAGGTGGCACAGACAAGGATGTCAAAGTCAGAATCGGAAAAGCAAGACAGGCGTTCATTAGCCTGAAACCAGTGTGGAGATCTTCTGCACTCAGCATGTGGAACAAGATCCGGATGTTCAACACCGATGTCAGTCAGATCAGTGCTCTTGTATAGTTCAGAGACTTGGCGCGTTACGAAAGGCATTTCCAATAAACTACAGACATTCATCAACAACTGCCTACGCTCGCTACTGAAGATCAGATGGCCAGAAAGAATAAGCAACAAGGAGCTCTGGGAACGTACTAACCAAGAACCTATCGCTCAACAAATATGCAGGAGGAAGTGGAGATGGATTGGGCATACACTGAGAAGGCCGACTGGGGACATCACGCGTCAGGCCCTCGAGTGGGATCCCCAGAGGAAGCGACGAGTTGCACGTCCGAGGGTGACATGGAGGAGGTCGTGCGAGGAGGAAATGAGAGTTTGTGGGCTATCGTGGAGTGAGGTTCAAAAGATTTCAGAGAACAGAGTTCACTGGAGACGTGCTACTGAAGCCCTATGTTCCATTAGGAACCCAAGGGACTAATAATAATAATGATAGATAGTCGTAAGTGGGGAAAAAAGCTTACAATAAACATGCACAGAAATACTCGAACTAAATGCGCTGTATTTCTATAAACCAGAGTAAAATATCAATTATTTCAATAATAAAACACAATTACCTTGACTGGAATAACAATCCAACAATTTCTGCATAGAGATCGGCAACAAGATTTATATTTTCACTATTTTTCGGTTGTAAGCTTAATGTTAAGAAAAAGAAGTCATTTCATTTGCAGTTGCATCAAAACTAATCTATTGGTTTGGATAACGTAATTAGAAAACCTAGTTTATCCAAAAAATATGATGTATTTGGGCCATACATTTCGAATAATCTGACCACACATTTGTTTGTTAGGGCATTTCATACTAAAAATGGAAATGAGTAAATGTGTGACTAGATTGTTTGGAATGTATGGGGCAAATATATCACATTTTTCAGACAAACTATATCTTCTAATTACTTTATCCAAATTCATAAAATGGATTAATTGTTTCTTAATCTAAAGTGCCAGTCAAAAAGAAGACATAAATAAGTTTAGTAAGTATGACTATAGTATGATAACTGAAGTTGAAACTGATCACCTCTTCTCGTCACTGAGGCGAAATAGGTAAAACATATCAAGCAAAAACCGAATGGATGAAATATACTCAACAGCCTTGGGCATATTCGTGTGGTAGGTAATGACCCACGCCTATTGTGTGAGGGGGCTAATGATACCTCAGGAGATGGGACGAGGCTCGAACCCATGACCCAATGGTTGCAAATCATCTCTCTAAACCCATGAGCCATAGCTCATATGAAAAAATATTAAAGCTATTGCCTCAAAATAAATCTGCTGATTAAATGATTACCTCAATCATATAAACACATACGCTATTATACTTCAGAATTACTAACATGATGTTGGCAGTGCAAGCGATTCAACGAAATAAATAGTAGTGATTGAACGAAGTCTTCAGATTTCCTTAATTACCAGAAGGCAGATCTCAGTTACACAGAGCGAAACTGTTTACAGCAAAACATTCCACGCCAGATTTATCTCAACCAAACTGTAGATGCCAAGCATAACCAAGGCTGAAATATGCCACTCGGATTTTTAATAAGTGACTGGAAATATCGTTTCCCGCACATTAACTAACATATACACGCACATCAAAAGGCACATGAACTATTTGATTACTTTTGAGAGTGCAGAATTAAGCTGCTATCGACCTTGCAAAATTATTGTATACTTGGGTGATGTTGAGTATATAATGTACTAGAGAATACTAGTCGGGTTGTAGTTCATTGGTTCAAATAGGTCACGAGTACTAAACCTACTCCATCTTCAGCAGTGTGATCAGCCAAATGATAAAAAAAATGATGAACAAACATAAAAAAACCTAACGTAAAACCTAACACAAAAGTGAATGGTTAAAGTCATTACAGTCCCCAGCAGCATTTAAAGAAGTGCAGAAAGAAAGAGTGATATCAAGATAGACAATTAAGAGAATAAATAGACGGAGGTTAGTGAGAATATTCTAAGATGACAACTACAGTATATGTCTGTACCCTTGCAACAGATTTCGTTTAGCTGTGGGTCATTGGTTTAGACAGTTGACATGCAAGTGTCGAGTCATGGGTTTGAACATCGCTCCACTAACCGAAGTTCGGGCATCCAGATAGCCCACATACACTGGCTGGCTCATAGCCAACTGCACAGACGTGCATAAGGTTGCTGGGCATACCTAGATTATGGATTTTTTTAGAACGGATTTGGAGCCACATCACGGAAAGTCTCAAACCACTAGTTTTTACAATCTCAAGTGAGAAAGCCTATACCCTCGTAATTAATACACTTAGTACTCACAATAAGAGGCATGACTTGGTGCCTAGCGATTAACATACGAGTGGTTGCTAAGCCACGTTATATTTACGTCGCGAATACTTGCCTTCAAGTAAAAAAAAGTGCCATTTTAATAGCCTGTATGTTTTTGCGTAGAAAAACGATAACGAACTCAGTAGAAAGCAGATTTGCAGGACTATCCCGTATTTACAAGTGATTTTTGTAAACGTATGTAAAACACTCAGTTGTCCCTTAAATGTAGTTTGATTATGAAATACGATTCTTTCAAAAATAGTGTGAACAACTTACTCCTCTCGGTAATTGAATCTCCTAAAACATTGTTCCAGGATTAATTCAATAACGTCGTTATGACCTGGATGAAAAGGCAACTGTCTCAAAATCGCAAGCATGGTATGGCAAAATATTATATCGATAGCGAGCTGGAAATAAAGTTTAAAACTAGGAATCTTCAAGAACATACATCACGTCTTTCAAAGAGAACAGATGCATCTGGTGAAGTTAAATGGTAGGATTTTGGCAATGAAGCTATATCTGAAGGACATTTGTTAGACTTATCAGATTTACTGGTACAAAGAGAGGTATTCGGGTGACTTTCAAATGAATGGTTACTGTCTTCAGACAGATGTTGGGTTGCAGTTGAAATAACTTCATTCGATTTACTGGGTGAAGTAAAACAGTGACGTTGATGCAACTGGTAGTATTTTCCAGATGAGTGCTGAGATCGATACCACAGTGACAAGGTTGAAACTAGTGATGGTAAAGAGAACTCAGCAACAACACCAAAGGCACTAATCAACTGCTCATATGCTGGGTCCTCATTTAGTTTCATGCTTTTCACAAGATTTGTTTCTTGTCTATCTTCAAGGGCCTTTTCAATTTTTGAACGTGCCAAGCTCGTTAACTGGCGGAGCAGGACCTGCATAGCCCATTCTCCAGGCTTAGTAACTGCCATTATCAAACGCAAGAATTTGTTGGTTGTAACTATGATCACACTAGCGACAGATAACAAGCCATAATTCATCCTCAGAAAGACAATGCATACAGCTGGAAAAAAATGGAAAACGTGTTATTTTTCGCAGTTCACTGATATGTATATATATATATATATATATATATATATATATATATATATATATATATAACTGAGTAGTGGTCCAAGTTGCACCATATCAATACAGCACATCCAAGAAGAATACACCTCGATGAAGGATAAAGAAATGAAGAAAGAAATCAAAAGTGGCACAGAGTCGTAGGAAAGAGAATAAGAAGGAATGAAACGATAATGAACTCGACATGACACCTAAGATTAAGACAGTGCGTACATGCATCCTTGCAGCTCAAATCGATTCTGACCCATACCACCTTGTTTAATAACAGAGAGTGAACTGGTTGATTAAGCTGACCACTTCTCTTACCTGGGAAGTCGGGTCCGCTCCAGTGAGTCAGTGGTCAACAAACTCTACACAGATACAAAATGCTTGATTGGTTTTCACCAACTGCCACCATTTATGGTGTTGCCGAGATATCTGACTGTTTATTAGAGGTCTAATGTACTACGCTGAAGACATGGCATCAACCCATGATGTCTCTGACTTATCTTTTGAGTCTTTTAGGGAAATGTAGACTTCCAAGTTGGAAGCAGCATGAAAAACAAAACTGGTGATTTAAGACTTTATTTGATGTTGCTCAGGATTGGTGAGTGGCGCAGATGCATATAGGCACTGTCATGATTCTAATCGTCATGTCGAATTCATTATTGTTTCATTTCTTTTTGTTCTCTTCTATGATGCACTGATAAGGGGTATTTTAATTTGGACGATCTCTGATTTCTCTCTGCTGCTGACTAGTTGACTGGGTGGCTGGAAAAATCACGACAGAGTACTACTCCATGAAGTTCTTCGCTGTTACTAAAAACAATTTAAGAGGGTGTATGCTACCTGATTAAGGTTCTCAAGATGTTACAAGTTATTGATTAGATAATTCGCGGAATGGCTCGAAATAAGTCACAATACTGTATATGCATATGATCATTCTCAATTTTGAATTTCTAAACATTTTGATTGACCTATTCATTTTCTATCTTTAGACATACTTTGTCTACTACAAAGTCATTCACATTTTATCCACCTGTTTTTGCGTCCTGTAAAGTGCCGCACATTGAGCTGAAACACTTCAGTACCAAGTTCTGCAATAATCCGTCAGCCAGAAAATTACGCGGCTATCATCTGATAAAGGTGTGCTTAGTTAACTTTGAAATAATAAGGCCTGATTATAAAAACCAAACCTGGAAGATGACAAAAACCTCGAAGATCAACTGCTACACAACTTTTTACGCTAAATCGTCAGGCGAATATCGAGTATGTTTCTCTAAATAAGATTATAAGGCCTATTTCGCTCACATTTAGAGAACCATAAAAATTAACTTACACATTACAGACAAATAAAATCACCCTAAAACCTCGCACACGAGTACAATGGCTGAAGTTACCACACTTCATATAGGTATATAAAGATCAAGTGCGTAGAAAAAATTGATATCAAAGTACACAAAGGTGTATAAGAGGAGAATGAATTTCAAAATGAAGGTTAGTCAAAACATCCAAGCTTCAGAAAGCGACAACGAGTGAACACATCTGCATTATTGTGACCTATCTCAGCCATGTCATCAAGAGTCCTCAATCACTGATTCCAATCGTTTCGGAGACACCAGCCAAGCAGTCTACATCTCCCTACATGGCCCAAACCAACAGTCTGAGACTTCATTCACTGGTGCTACTTCTTAATCCCACCACCCTGATCCACCTAACTTCTCTTAACACTGTATGTCGAGGTAGGTGGTGGCTCAGCATGCGCAACACATGTCTGAGCAACCTCAGTCGACTAAGGTTCACACAACACCACAAATCGACTTGCCTTTCTTGTATAGTACCCTTCATCTCACCTTTATATTGCTCACATGATGATTCCACTAAGCGTGGAAAATGCTACAAGGACACTTGTGATCACAACCCTGTAACCGCTTCATATGCTCCACTTTTATTAACCATGTCTCACAGTCGCGTAACAGGACAGAACGGAACGAAGTGGAGTATACTGGTCCTTTAATGGGTAGTCGGATATCTCGTCAGTCGGTGTCAGAGGTGACGTAGGGTTGGCAAATATCGAACGGGCCTTCTGTATATGAGCTGAGATTTCATCAGAAACCAACGCTTTCGATGCATTCCACCACTTTACTCCCTACTCTGTTGAACAAATTTAGACGATCCTGCATTTTGTTAGGATGTTCACCTAGCAGAGCAATATCGTTTGAAACTCCAAATCAAACAGATGCTCCGCAGAGGGCAGGTCAGTTCCTTTAAAATCGTAGGTACCTAAGAATATATCTATCATTATGTCCGTAAAGAAGTCAAATAGGAACGGTCAGTGGGCATCCCTGGCGGATAATAGTTGTCGTCGATGCTGATGATAACTCATAAAACCTTACACGGCTGCGTAAGTTTAAGTAGAGAGTTTTGATTAAAGTCAAGTACTTTTCGGTACTTCTTTCACACTCAGACACTGCTGACTGACTGACTGACAAAATCAAGGTAGAACCTCGCAAACAGGTGCATCGGTTCAAGTTGGCACACTACATAGTAGTACACAAAGAAAAGGTGGATAGAAAAGCAGTGATATCAAAGCAGATGAAGTAGAGTGAGAAAATAAAAAGCCAGAAGATAAAGATTGGTGCGAATATTCAAGCTTTAGACGACGTCAATAAGTGAATACATCCGCGCCACTGTAACCGATTTACAGTCATGGCACCAATAGTTCTCAACTACTGATTCCTCAGACACTGACACACCTCATGGTCAATTAAGTCGAAAGCCTACTTTAGGTTAAGAAATATGCCAAGTGTTAGCATTAACACTAACTAGTACCTGTTACTCTAGTCAGCAATTTCCGGCTGCTTTGCACCGTCTTAGATTCGGTACATCTTGCTCGATTTCAAGGAGAGAAGCGAGAACTATTATATTCCCAGCCAACATTTTCGAGGCGAAGCTCAAGGCCAAAAATACAGTCCCGGTCAAACGGGGGAATGAACTGGATAAAAATCTAGCCGGGCGGCAGATGAAAAGCTGATTCAGGTAACTTATAGCGTTACACATATATATATATATATATATATATATATATATATATATATATACTAACGTTTAAATGCTTCCAGGTCCACTTTATATAGTTTGGCATCGGGCACAGTGACAATAAAAGAACGTCACAAACTGCGCCCGTATATAGAGGGGAAAGGTGAGTTTAAAAAATATTGCTTTCCGGTCTGTTTTTAGTACTGTAATAGAACTAATGAACTGTCATTGAATGGCACATCTTTTACTGATTCTATCCACATTTCCTTTCTCATTGTCGCTACATGTTTACAGTGTTCACTGTCTCTTGTCACTCCCCCAGTCACAACTGAAAACCTGATAGGACCTCGGATCGTTCTAAAAACTAATCAGATGCAAAAATGAAATGAAACTGGTTGAACTAGATTGTCATCAAAATATTCAACTGCAGAGTTATTTTATCTATGTAAACGCTACCCATAAGCATCTCGTACTCGTCAACGTAATGTAAAGATATGCACAAAAGGCAACAAAATGTTTTGATAAGTCCAAGCATACATTATCATTTGTTAATCTACCACAACGAAATAATCCACTAATTGCACAATTTGGCATGCACTTGTAAAGCGAGTATTATGAGACAAACGAAGACTGACACCACATAAGATATCTGACCCATATCTACCAGTCAGGTTTAGGTTGAGACAGGTCGGCAGATTGTAAGATCAATTTTAAAGTGCACCCTAGGTGTATGAGTTCAGTACCTACAATAAGGTTGGGTTATATTTGTAGCCAGCTTTCTTGACTCTCAAACATGAACTAAAGCTGTTCTCCAGGAAATTTTCCTAAAGACAGAGTTGACTATACATAAACCGTTTTTGCTATGATTCAATAGTGCATCCTTTAACTTTGATTCTAGGAGTCATAGGTCCCATTGAATTAAGACTAGCCCCTCTGAAAAACCATCTTGTTATTTAAACTATGATAACGGTGATTATCAAGCGGTCGTTTCTATCACCGGATGTATAATTTAGTTTTCATAAGTACTCACAATCAACGACAGGCTTGTCCAGTAAGAGTACACTTAGGAAGAAAACAGATCTATCATTACGCCAGAGTCATATTGACCGCTAGTGCATCAATACAACCCTCAATAATGTCTTAATGAATTTCAAGCCTTATGTTCTAAAAACAAAGACCTTATTGCTTTTAGTTTCTTCAAATAGGTGGCTGCAATATCCAACAGTTTTCATAACAGTTCAAAGGTCCATAACTCGACTTTGGGTATATCCTACAGCATATCTCAAGGTCACTTCCGTCCTGACTGCCAGTATTGCGGCATTAATTGTGCGTCAGCTACATGATATTAATCCTAGTATTTTTTGGACTCGTTCACTGTAGGAGCTGATATAACCTGCTGAGATTATGACTTTCAGTAGCTAATTGCTCTCTGGGAGAATAAAGTGATTCCTCGCAGTCTTTGTGCTTTCTTAAGATGGTCTTCAGGATAAGACGTCCCAGCAAGAAAGAATAGGCATGAAGTGTAAGTGCTGAAGCCATCATTGGGCCAACGGAAAACTAGTGTCAGGCTACGCTGTGGCCAAGGCACGCTGATATGAACTTCATTCATCCGTGTAGGTTATAAAATTCACCACTTTCTTAGTACCTAAAATCAGTTACATCAGCACTTTACCGAGGTATAGGCTGGCTGCCTAAATTCAGCGCCATGAGAGCTAAGGTATGTATAATGAAGTGTTCCGAACATGTCCTGATAAAAGTTTTGAAAGTCTACATCGGACCATGAAGTAACGTTGACTTTCGCTACAATTACATTGCAGCGCGGAAATATTTTCATATCACACTTTTTATATCACCTGAGCTTTCAGTTTCAGCAATGACAGATGGCAATGCAGAACTAATATGATGCTTCAAAAAAAATACTAATGCCGGGATGCCTCAATGAACTACTGCTGGCGTCGCTTTCTAAGCACCTGAGCTTGGTCAGCCTACTACTTCGTCGAAATCCGAATGAGAAGCGTGCCTGTCGGCATCACTGCATACGACTTCTCTAGCTTTTATGCGATTTCTGAAAAAGAGCTCTGATCATCTTGGTGGACCACACTGACAGAGTAGAAAGTGGGTAAGACACGATCGTTTCCGAATGACCCTTGGTCCTTACGGGATTCCGCCCCGATGCTGTCATGTCATCCCTCAATCTTTGCCTTGTATTGTGCAGGAAGTCAGTATTCCAGACGTGTAGTGTAGTATTAGCCAAAAAGGGGAGCTTTCATTGAATGAGAGATCGTGACAAGCAGTCCTCGGAGGATTATTTCTTAGACATTGATTCATGTATTGATTAGACTGGGAGGGCAGATTTGGACAGTGATTGCTAATTACTGCCTTCAAAAACTTGCCTCATTATGTGTCTTCCTAGTTTATAGGGCGATGACTCGACAACACGAACATGTGCAAACCATTAGAAACCTGAGATTTTCTTCTCGTTATTCGAGGTGGTAATAGAAACGATGCTGGGTGCACTACTTTCTCAACTTGCTGAGAAAGATTCAAAATACTGTTTCGAAAAGCATTCAGTTTTAAACAAGTTAAACTCCATCAAGCTATGTGTTCACGCGTTCATCGCCAGAGATCAGAATAAACAGACTAAAATGGAATTACGGCCGAACGCGGTGCCCAAGTTCTACTAGGGTTAGAGATCAGAATTCTTGCTTTCGCATTCTCTTCAGTGAATGTCAAGTACTTTTCAGGTAAGCTCTCAAAGTCATTCATGCACTATCTCCCACAGACCAAGACCGTGCAGAAATAGTTTTGCGAGGACTTACATCATTCAATTTTCAGTATTTTCGCTCCGCTTTCGGAAAGGAAGTTCAGCACCCATCTAGACTTCAGACAAACTTATCGAACAGTGAGGTCGGTGCGAAGGCCTTTGGAGGGTTGACAACTCAGTGAATGGTATCTTCAACAGTTGGAACAAGGTTCCGAACTTAGTTTAGGTACTCTCGATAGATAAGCCTTCAAAGATAGTGCAATCCTTAGTGACAGGGTAATCTCTTATGCATGACCTACAGACGCCTCTAAAAATGGCATGCATTTTTGTGCATTAGATTGCGTGGGATGAAATTACTATCACTATTATTATTATTATTATTATTATTATTATTATTATTGTTATTGTCATCATCACAAGGGTTCCCGACGTCATAGAGCAAGAATGAAACAAGTGTACGTGAATTAAAGTACTGCGCTACCAAACAGCACTTTAAATCACTGGGCTCAATAAAGGTAGGTTATTACAAGGTTTATTCTGTGCTGTGTGATTCACGCACAAGTCCTTCACTGTGTTACCCCAACAATGTCACCACGGTGAGATAAAGTTTATACGGTAGTCTTTCCTTGGCACTGTTTACATTCATATATGTAAGCTTCTCTTTTGCTTGTAAACCCAGTTTCACGGGCCATACCTCGAGGTAACATCCGTCTAGGACGAGCAAATGTAAGCTTACAGTATCCCGTGTCTCGACGTTTCTTTAAGGAGAGGGAATCATGTATGTTCATAGCACCTTAAAGACATATTCTAGCCAGCATAATATACCGACACCACGTGGAAGCAATCATGTCTTTGTAATCAACAGACTGGACCAACCTAACACAAGTCACCTGCACACCGTATCAGCCAATGTGGATCTCATCATATTTGGAAGCTTCTAAAAGGTTTCCTCACTTACCCCTCTTCCACACATATTAGACACGCTCCGTCACTCTCACTACTCCTTTCTTTACCTTCCAACAATAGAGTGGAACCCTCTACCAACCTATTGGAACCCTACATCTCCTCTTAGGAGCTGCAACCTGTAAAAATGTTATAAAATTGAAGACATGTGCTTTACCTCATGTGGAGTGAAGTGGTGTGACATTCATGGTTTTCCCTGCCCCAGTAAAGAGTGCCTACAGTGTTTCACAGTCTACGTCTTTCCTCTCATCACCGATCTCAACACCCGTTTTCAAATCCCTATCTCTCTTCTCCATAAACCATAGTGACGACTGTGTTGTGTTGGGTTGGACCCCAAGCCATATAAGACTGACAATCTTCCGCTAACCCCTTCCTGAGAACACTGGAGATGTCTTATCAATTCGACATCACAACCGGCTATATTTCCCGGTATCTTACCAGACATAACCTTTTGCATGCCCCCACAATTATCAACTCTTCATAAGGCCAGAGTAAATGACTAGGTGAAGAGAGCATGAACTACCTCGATATGCTCAGTTGTCGTCCATGGATAAGTTAAAAGATATCCCTAACTTGGTTAGTTCAACTGAAGTTCCAAACAGGTCCACAGCTGATTAGCAGATTGAGCGTTTTCTTTCACTAATTTCCCTGTCGATAGACTTGACATCACCCTACATCGTTTTTTTCACACTGTATGCACCTGACAATTGTCTGCCCAAATGTTGCTGCAACTCGGATCATCAAGTTCTGGCGTCATTCACTTGCTAGCACCTAAGAAACGTACGACTGACTTTCCGGCATATGACGACGTCTTGCAATATGGTCAGCTACAAGGTGGCACTTTCAAAAAGCAGACCACATTTTGGATATAAACCGATGGTTTCAACAGCGACAGGCTACCTACATTTCCGGTCCTGTTGGAACCAATTTTGATTAGAATTTAGCAAAATTATGACCGCCTATTGCGTAATCCCTCCATGGATCATCGCTGGGCAGCTTTCAGCGTCACCACCTCAAGCTTGCGTGCATCAGCCACCCTCGAGGGTTCGACATCTCTTCTATCTTTCACGCACGACAATCATCTGCAGGTATTTCAAGTACCTACCTAACCAGGCAAAAGCCTCTTGCTCTCTTCACCAGCTGAATAATATTCAAAGTAAGCACATTCCCAACTTCCAAAAGTTAGTCCTTAATTTACTTTTAAATCCAATGCGCAGTTGCTCGCTTGTTGTTTATCCCCCCTGCAAGACCATAAATAGTCTGGATGTCACAAAAATTTCTGGATCTACCTATCACTTATTTTTAAGCGCGTCTATGTTTGTGGGTCAGATTTTGGTTTCGATTGTGCAGATATTCAGTACAAATTTCTTTGGAAAACCGATCTCATGAAAGGATCTGAAGCGTACACTTACCTTTAAGTTTTTATCTATGATGTCCCTCAGTAACGGTCCATGAGAAACAAATGTATGTAGTGCATGAGGTGAAGTGCAGGGCGAGGGGTTCGCCATGAATGGGTATTCAGTCGTTCCATGCTACAAAGCCTCAATCTTAATCATCCTTTAGCCGCAAACATCTTTTCGCTTACGTTATATTTAGCCGTCGTGATCAAAATGACAGTAATTGGATAAATGCACGTAGGCTGTCACCACAACCTTACCTCTGCCTCCGTCTTCACACTTATTTATACAAACTACAAGAATGAAACGGGAAAGTCCAACCGAAATAATTACGGACCTACTGGAAGGTAGGTTCACGACAACACGGAATCGATTTTCTTCAATTTATATTCCACTCTCGGTCGCTAAACAGGTAATTACAAGGAGGAAGACGTATAAGACGACTGGCCAGGTAACAGAAAAAAGCTCATTGGCTTGTTGTCCGCGGTTATCACCTGATCTCTCAGAAAACCATTTGATTTTCATTTTAATGTTGTTGCTTCTGTTATCAGCAACAACGCTAAAAGAAGCGGCTATCGTGGCTTGGCGGTCTAGCAGGGAGCGCTCTGGAGTTTTAGGTCACTGGTCCCGAATCCGAGTCCCAGTGAGAGCAACCTCACTCACTGGGAGGCAGATGCTTCCAGCTGACAAGTCCCAAATAGGACGAAACGCCCGCCATCTGTTGGGTGTCAACCACTGTCAATCACTCATAATTTTAACTCTGTTGTTAAACTTATTGTTCACTCTCTGCAGGTTAACCATTTACAGGTTCATTTTTCTTAGTTTCATGTTAAGTTTTGGACTGCCTTTGCTGCCTTATGTTATCTAGCTGGATGGTTTAAACGTGAAGCCTTCGTTTTCGTTCCAGACAACGACATCACAAACTTCGGAAAGAACTGAGGCACGGTATCTTCACCACCAGTGGCCTAATGGTCTGTCCTGGCTGCTTTGTGTGATTGGTCATTTCTGCCGGTCCTACCACCCTCCCTATATTTATTTCGATTCGTCGACCCTCTGGCATGAACTTTTGCACTCCCTTCCATTTCCTGTTGGTTCACGGATCAGTGTTAATATGTCTATTGACCGGTGGCTGGCCTGAATACTGAGCCGCTGAGAATTTCCTGGCATTCTCTACATTTTTCCCTATCTAGAATTTCTACATTTCCCCTGCCAAATTCATGTTCGCAGTTGTCCTCATGCATTGGTATGGGCAAAGGTATGTCATGACGCTTTTCAGCTAGTTGATGTCCGCACATTCGGATACTTAGACAGGAATTATATCCTCAAATGTCGTGTTTTTCACACTTTCTGCTTTTCACTTTGTAGACAATGTTTGAATCTTCACCATTTTGAGCGCATAGCAGAGGATGAAGAGGTTTTGTGGACATGCCGGACGCAACGATTTCAAAAGGCTTGAATAATCTATTTGAGATCTTAGAGACGTTTTTCATGTAAAATAGGAAAATCCGTATCCTGGTTTCCAAAGTTGACCCTTTGGTTGATGAAGAATTGCAGATGAGGTAGCCTTGACAACCATTCTTATGGAAAACGGCCATTTAATAACTTTCATCTTTTATCCGCAGGATTTGGCGTGGTCGCAAACATTACTGGTTGCAAATCCTGGAAGGCTTCCTGCCATCTGAAGCCTTGATGCAGCCAATTCCGAAACGTTGGTTGATCTGAGTATCTTAGCACTGAGCCACAGACGTTTGCCAGTCAAACTGCTTCACAAACTCGAAACTTGCCTACATGTCTTAATAGGGAGCCTTGAAAAATAATTAGTCGCACTTCATCCCACCGAACCGGAGTTCCGATGAGATGTGCCGTGTAGACGACAGATCATACAACTTCTGTGAGTAACATTACACGATATATTTCTCCCTCGGGATCCCTATGGAACGTAGGGCTCCAGTAACACGTCACCATTGCACTCTCTTCTCTGCAGTCTTGAACTTGACTCCACGACTGCCCATAAGCTTTCATTTCTTCCTCACACCATCTCCTCCATGTCACCCTCGCCTCGGACACCTAACTCGTCGTTTCCTATTCGCCTTCCACTCGAGGGCTTGGCCTGCCGGGTGATGTCCCCAATCGGTCTTCTCAGTGTATGCTCAATACAATCCATCTCCACTTTCTTCTGCATATTTGTTGGGCGATGGCTTCTTGGTTGGTTCGTTGCCAGCCTGCCAACCAGCCAGCCAGCCAGCCAGAGTTCCTTGTTGTTTATTCTTAGTATTCTGGCCATCTGATCTCCATATTCAGTGTCGAGTGAGCGTAGACGGTGGGTGTTGATGAATGTTTGTAGTTTGTTGGAAGTGCTTTTCGTGGTGCGTCAAGTCTCTGAACCATATAGCAGCACTGACTTGACTGACATTGGTGTTGAAAATCCGGATCTCATTCCGGCTTTCTGCTGAGTGGAGTGGAGTGCAGTGCAGTAGATCTGTACACTGATTTCAGATTGATGAAAGCCTGTCTTGCTGTCTTTCCAATCTTGGTTTCGACATCCTCGTCTGTGCCGACGCCACCTGTAGTTGAAACGATGCTGCCTAGGATGGTAGGTGAAAGAGACTACTCCCTTTAGGTTTCTCCCGTTGATGGTGATTGGTACCTCTTCTTGTTGATGATGTTGTTGGTTGGGCACCTTCATCACCTCTGTCTTCT